ATGCGGAAGATGACCGGCGTTGGCCATCCTGGGATCGTGGAGCAGGTGAGTGGGGGCACCAGACCAAGGCAGGGCACTGCTGGTCACTGTCATTGGGGTGAGCCTCTGGTGGTTACTGAAAATTCTTTGCTCCCATGCTACAGTCCTGCCCAGTGCTCGCACCTGCTGTCAATTTTAAAAACATCAAGTCAGCACTTTTAGAACTATGATATAGTAGCTGAAAAGTTATTTCTGTCTTATATCAACAAACATACTTCCTCTTTTGGTAAAGTATACACACAACAACGTTTGAACTGAGCATGTCCCCTTACACACAGATATTTTTAGTTAACAGGTCAAGAGTCACCTCTGCAGTTGGGAGTCCATACACACAGAGAGCAGGCTGTAGTCAGATATGTAGTTAGAAATTTCATTGTGTAGGGGATTGGTGCCCCTGACCTCTGTACTGTTTCAACTGTGTGTATGTAAATCTGATTCAGCAATCAAATCTATAAATACTGGGACAAAAAATACTAATTTAGCACAAAATCTGAAAAAATTTATAAGCACACCTTGCTTTACTGTGCTCCCCTTCATTGGGCTTCACAGGTGTTACCTTTTTTACCAAATGAAGGCAAGACCCTCCACCTGCAAAAAGATTACTGACTCACTTTATCCAGATGGTCTGGTATCTCCAAGGTATGCCTATGATGTGTTCTTTATACATTTTTTTCCCAAACCATAAAAAATTAAGAAGCTTAAGGTGTGATGTTTAAAACAAAAATCATAGAGCATAAAAAAATACAGTTGATGTATCTGAGCAGTGTGATATTTCCTCCAATTGGACTCTTAAGTGTTTCCACAAAATCCAGTTAAGAGTGCATGTATTCCCCTTTTAAATAGCTGTTAAAAGTTAACAGCTTACACACTACATCTACTGAGCACGTGCTGCACCCTGTGCTAAGCCAGTAGAGGTAGTGCTCTCCTACCTGACAGAAGCAGGAGCAGCCACAGAAAGCAGTTAATAAAAACAGAGTTGGGATGTGAAACTAGTCAGATCACCTGTCCTAAACAATTCTTGTTTCCTGGAATAGCTCAGAAATGTGTGATCCCACACACCACGTGTGAGGGTCACTATAGTGCAGTTCAACCCATCCTTCCATCCACTTTATGATAACAACATTTTCTGTTCATTTACTCTGTTCATTACATTTTTAATTTTATCAGTCAATAATATACTTTCTCAAACAAAATGTGGCACCTTGTTGGTTTAACTAACTGCCTGACAAGAGAACTGTAATCCCAATTCTGTCTCTCACTTTTAGTACTTAGCCCTCTCAGCTTCCCATCATCTACAAACATACACACCTTCTTTGTTTATAAAGCTGTTTTAAAAAATACATACAGCCAAGCAGGGCCAGTGAATGTCAGTGCCCTTCTGGAAGGCAGGGAGACTTCACTAATCCATTCCAGGGAAGGGGGGTTTTGAATACCATGCAGCCCTCTGGCACCTCAGCCAGAGTTGAAGATGCCCTCCCCCCCACTTTAGCTGGTCACAGGCTAACAACTTGTAAGCCAGTGTAGTCAGCTGGTAGAGTATCTATTGTTTCATGCACCAAAATGTCACCAGTTTGATTTCCAGTTAGGGCACATGGCCAAGCAGGCTCTATCCCAAACATTAATGTTTCTCTCTCTCTCAAATCAATAAAAACAGCCCAGCCGACATAGTTCAGTGGCTGAGCATCAGCCTATGAACCAGGAGGTCATGATTAGATTTCCAGTCAGGGTGCATGCCCGTGTGTGGGGTGCAAGCTTCATCTCCAGTTGGGGGCATGCAGAAGGCAGCTGATCAATGATTCTCTCTCATCATTGATGTTTCTCTCTCTCTCCCTTCCTCTCTAAAATCAATGAAAGTATATATTTTTAAATCAATCAATATATAAAAACTTACTTTAAAAAGTTGTTAGGATTTTTACCAGAATGTAAAGTACAACATAGGGCAGCGTTTTTCAACCCCTGTTCCGCGGCACACTAGAGATGTTGCCTGGTGTGCCGTAGGTGCAGACAAGACAAGAATTTTATAATTTTTCACTATTTTGTTTACTTAATATTTCATAATAAAGTAATTATAAAATACTTTCTTTGTATTTATTTGATTCCTATTCAAGAGAATTACTTTATATATAGTCAATATAGGCACAGAGTTAAATTTTTTAACATTTTCTAATGGTGGTGTGCCTCGTGATTTTTTTCATGAAACAAGTGTGCCTTTGCCCAAAAAAGGTTGAAAAACACTGACATAGGGAATCTATCCTAGCTTATAAAATATGCAAATTGACCATACCTCTGCTACACCCACAAGCCATACCCACCAGCCAGTCAGGAGTATGTATGCAAATTAACCCAACCAAGATAGCTGCGGCCACAGAGCAAGCAGAAGCAAGATAGCTGTGGCCACAGAGCAAGCAGAAGCAAGATAGCTTCGGCCACAGAGCAAGCTTCCAACACACCCTGGCTGACCATGGACTTCACTCAAGGCTACAAAGTTTCAATTATAGAAGATAAATCCCAATAAAAATGGTGGCAGCCACAGAGCTGGAGAGAGCAGGAGGCTTGAGTTGCCCCCGGCAATTGGGGAAGCCAAGTTTCCACAGCCCTGACATTCCTTGGCCTCCACTCACAGCTACAAAGTTTCACTTAAAGAAGATAAATAAATTTCAACAAAAATGGCTGTGGCCAAGTTGCAAACAGGAGGCTTGGATTCCTCTGGTGATAGAGGAAACCAAGTTCCTGGCCCGCCCAGGCCTCCACTGAAGGTAACAAAGTTTCAATTATAGAAGATAAATAAATCCCAGATACCAGGGCCTCCACTTGGGCCGCCATGGGGCATGGCCAGCCTGCAAACCACCACAGGCCCCTCACCCAGGCCATCCCATGCCCCAAGATCCAGGACATCACTCCAACATACAAGATGGCTGCCCCCATGTGGTGAAAGATGGCTAACCCCATGTGGGCACAAAATGGCCACCACACCAGCAGGGGAAGGCAGTTGGGAAGGATCAGGCCAGCAGGGGAAGGCAGTTGTGAGTGTTCAGGCCAGCAGGGGAGGGCAGTTGGGGGCAACCAGGCCTGCAGGGGAGAGTAGTTAGGGGCAATTGGACTGGCAGGGGAGCAGTTAGGCATCAATCAGGCTGGCAGGGGAGTGGTTAGGGGGTGATCAAGCTGGCAGGCAGAAGCTGTTAGAGACAATCAGGAAGGCAGGCAGACAAGCAGTTGGGAGCCAGCAGTCCTGGATTGTGAGAAGGATCCCAGATTGGAGAGGGTGCAGGCTGGGCTGAAGGACACACCACTCCTGTGCATGAACTTTGTGCACCGGAGCTCTAGAGAGTGTGTGTGTGTGTGTGTGTGTGTGTGTGTGTATAAAAAAATAAAATAAAATATTATATATATAACCCTAACATGCAAATAGACCGAATGGAGGAACAACGAACAACCAGTCGCCATGATGTGCACTGGCTGCATGGTATGGTGGTGAGCAAGGGTGCCAGACTAAGGTGAGGCGCTGGTTGCTGTCATTGGAGCAAGCCTCTGGTGGTTATTAAAAATTCTTTGCTCCCACATGCCACAGCCCTGCCTGGCACTTGCACCCACTGCCAGCGCTAGAGCCACTGCTTGCACCCATTGCTGGTGCCAGACCCACTCAAACACGTTGCTGGCCCTGATCACCCCTAATGGCTTCTCCACCTTCCCCTGCTCTTGAGGGGTGCTGTCAGCCTATGGGAGCAGTGCCAGCAGGACTGGGGGCCACAGCTGGAAGCACAGAGGATGGGCCAAGACCCACCCCTGTGCCACCTCAGCCTCACAGCCCACAGTTCCTTTCAAGGTGCACAAATTTGTGCATTGGGTCCCTAGTCTACACTGATAAAAGAGAAAGATGCAAACTGACCGTACCTTCGCGATACCCACCAGCCAGTCAGGAGTGAGTATGCAAATTAACCCAACAAAGGTGGGTTGGTTAATTAGCATGCATAGGCGCTGAGTGGCCAGGGACAGGACGGGATGCTTGCGTCGTCGCCATGGCAAGGATGCAGGAGTTCCTCTTGCCCCAGACACACAGGGCCTCTGGGCAGCATGGGATGGCAGGACTGGAGTGAAAAGAGGCAACTCCAGGCCAGAACGAAAAGGCAGTGACGGCAGCCAGGAAAAGAAAGGCCCATTCTTGCACAAATCTTTGTGCATCAGGCTTCTACTACAGAAATAAAAGGCTAACATGCAAAGTGTCCCTTTGGAGGTCTGACCAGGAGACCAGAAATTCAATCACTCACTATAACATGCGATGACCACCAGGGGGCGTCATGGAATGAAGGAAGACACCTGCGAGTAGCCAGAAGGCCCTGATTGCCCGACAGGCCTAGGGACCCTCCCTGTGCACAAATTTCATGTACCAGGTCTCTAGTATAGTCAATAATTTTGTAATAATTATGCTATGCATTGTGCCAGATAGGCACTAAACCTATGGGGGGATCATTTTCAAATTATTTAAATGTCTGATCACTATGTTGTATACCTGGAAACTAATATAATATTGTTTATCAACTGTAATTGAAAAAATTATTTTTTATTTTTAAAAAATGTTTGATGGTTGTATCATCTCAAGGATGCCTTTCTCTAAGCAGACCCAAATTGATTGCTGGTAAAAAGCTATGATTTTTTTTTTTTTTTTTAACGAAAAGCTTATAGGCACATCCCCAAACATAGTCAGATACAAGTTATACTCCAACAACAAGGTAAAAAGAACTGCATACACAAAGCCACAGTGTTTATGCTCAACTTGAACAATTTAGAAAACGAATGGCCAAGTTGAGAACTTAAATGCTCTGTACCAGCCATTACAGGGAATGGCAGAGACTGGCCAGGCTGTTCCCACGTGACAGCCAACATCCAGCCCACGAGAAAGACAGAACCACCCCCATTCCAGTGCCCCAAGTTGCAGTACTCCTCCACAGTGGTCAGCTGAGAGCTAATATTCTCCCTTTGCGCATATTGTAGCCAACCTGGAATCTCTGCAAATCACAAGTCTACCCATCTTTACTAACAGAGGCCCAACCAATTCCAATACCTTTCTTTCCTTCCTACTTTCTCCTCCAACACTCAGCAGTTCCCACGGTCCTTAACTTCTGCCAGTTATCATTGCAATCACTTGTATTCAGAACTAAGCTCTTGGAAAGCAAAGGCTGGCTCTTATTCACCCTTGTGGCCCCTGCAGTAGCAGTTCTGAGCCCTCCGGGTGAGCACGCTCAGCAAAATCCCCTGGGGGCTTATTAACAGACTCAGGGCCCAGCCCCAGACTCTGCGATTTAGTGGGGATGAGCCTGGAAATCTGTATGTGTTTTTCAAGTGTTCCAGGTTTTCTGCCAACAAGTCGGGTTTGGGAAGTTAAGGTCTCACCTGCAAATGCAGCATGGAAACGTCAGCAGGATTTGTCCCATTAAAACCCGGACACACAGCAATAACAAAGGCGCTGGTGTCCTAAGGCTAATGCGTGGGGCTCAAACCCCAGCCTGCAGGAACTCACCCCCGTGGTCAGAGCCGGGCCGATGGGGGTGGACCTGGGCTGGTGCTCCTGACTCTGGGGAGAGGGAGACTTCCCGTGACCCGGGAAACTACTATCAACCGGAAAATCAGAGAAGCACAGAAGATTCAAAAACACGAACGATAACGCTGGCGATTCCTTTTATATCTGGGGTAAAAAACAAAAACACACCAAAACAAAAGCCTGAACTTGTACACACACGCGCGGAAAAAAAACGTTGCTCCAGGGAAAAGCAATCCAGACCCAGGCGGGAGGGCTGCGGGCTAGAGGGCCGGACACTGCTCCACGTGCGAAGGCGGAGGGAGGGACTCTGCGCCGGGCTGACGCGGAGCTACCCGGCGCGTGGGGGCCGCACACAAAGGCCGCGGGGCCGGCGCTGTCCCCGGCCCGCGTCTCCAGTAAGAGCCCTTTCTTCCTACGCAGCGAACATGGCGGAGCGCTCCGGGGCTCCGGAGCTGCAGTGCGCACGCCGGGGCTGGGGCCGGGCTGGAGGCGGGCGCGCTTGCCCGCCCTCTCCTCCCGCCGACCACCTCAGGCGCCGCGGCCTCCAGGCCGCCACCAGCCCGCCCGCCTGCCCCCTTCTCCTCGCCCGCAGGGCAGCCCCTCACTCACCGGCAGCCGGCGAGCGCTCGGGCTCCGGCAGGTCTCCGAACAGGTCCATGGCAGAAGCTGATCGGCGGAGGCGGACACGCAGCCCGCGAGCGGCGGCGGCGGCGGCGGCCTGCACCCTCGGTGATGGCAACAGCGGCTGCTGGGCGGTGGCGGTCAGGGCGCTGTCAGTCACCCGAGGGCGGGCCCGAAACGCCACCAATTGGCGCGCGACGTGGCTTGGCCGCCCCAGAATCCTACGCGCGGGCGAAAAAGGGTGGCGAGGGGGCGGGGCCGAGCGCACGCGCACTGGGCTCCAGGACCGCGGACCGGAAGCTGAGGCCGCCATGTTTCCTGGGGAGTCCTGGCCTCTTCTGCTGAGCTGTAGCCCAGGCATCCGTCCCAAGAAGGCCTGTCCAGATCGGAATGTCTAAGTTCAAGGGCAACTATAGTGAGCCCTGAAGTCTGGGAAGGCTCCATGGAGCTTTTCACAGGCGTCTGCCCCGTCGCCCACACACCCCCAGTGGGGGGCGGATGTCCGTGCCTAGATCATTCATTGTAGAGCTCGAGAAACCGGGGCTTCATTGAGCGGCCCTGGGCGTTAGGGCTGAAACCAATTAAGACGCCAGATGGACAGGAGGCAGCCCTGCTCTGCCTACACCCTTCTGGCAGGTGTGGGGGAGCGGGACGGAAGGATGTGATGTTCCAGAAAAGCAGCCTGTGACCAGGGATGGCCTGGCACACGCGGCCCTTTCTATTCTAAGCCCAGTGTGGACGAAAAGGGGCGGCATACTAAACCTGACAGCTCAGGGGGCAACTGCATGGTGGGCTTTATACACTCAGACCTGAAGTAACCGCATGGGATGGTCTGAATGCAAAACTTTCTAGGTGGATATCTTCCTTGACAAAGATCAATCTTTACCTTAACTGAGCCTGTCTGCTGTCTTTCTGCATCTATGGTAATGATAATATACCTACGGAATACCTGGGTAATCCCTTTTCCCAGATCCCTCAGGGCAGTCTCCCACTAGAGATTACCATCTCTATGTGCTGAAAATGTTGATTGTTAACTATGCTGAACCCACCAAGGCAAATGAAGTGTCTCTCCATTTTACTTTTTTCTCAGATATTACCCCTGCTTTGCTTTCTCCTGCTTCCCTAATCTACCACCAATGGATTTTACATAGCTCCAGTTATGCTACCTCCAACAAACTGCAAAACTGCCATTACCCAGAGCATTATCTCAATCTTGTAAGATTTCACTTTTGGGCATGTCCTCAAAAGTTGGCTCAAATTAAACCTCTATGACTTTTCGAAGGGCTGGACGTCCTTTCGTGGTCAGTGCCAGTTTGGGGCCAGACACTAGTTAGGTGTTTTGTAAATGTTAGTTTTATTTAAGCTCTCACAGCTTGTAAGGAAAGTAATGCTGCCTTTCTTAGGTCTGCAGGGGATTCCCCTGGAGTCTTAGGTGAGATCCCATTAGCACTGGAGTAAAAAGTCTATTATCAGGAATGGAAAAACCTTGTAATACAGGGGATGTGTGTGTGTGTTTGCAGGAATGCAAAGAAACTTGTCGACTCTAGGGCACTTGGGCTGGACACCCCAGAACCTCCTATGATAGGTAGAGTTCCTTGTGGGTTCTTGCCTCATGAAGTTTAAAGAATAAAATTCCCAGACTAAAAGAACTTGTTAGTAAAAGAGTAGAAATTTATTGGAAGCAAATACCATTCCCACATAGAGAGGGGTTCTCGAGGGGGTAACCAACTAAGCCCCTTTGTCTAAGGTTTTTTTGTTTTTTTAAAAAAATAAAATATATTTTATTATTTCACAGAGAGGAAAAGAGAGGGATAGAGAGTTAGAAACATCGATGAGAGAGAATCATCGATCAGCTGCCTCTTGCACACCCACTACTGGGGATGTGCCTGCAACCAAGGTATGTACATGCCCTTGACCAGAATTGAACCTGGGACCTTTCAGTCCGCAGGCCGTCGCTCTATCCGCTGAGCCAAACCGGTTTTGGCTTGTCTAAGGTTTTAAAGGCTGGAAGTTCTTTATCTATGCTCCCTTCTAATTGGACTCCTTCCTCATTTATCTTCTGTGAAAATTTGTCTTCCTCTTGTAACATTTCTCTATCCTCTGTGAAAGTAAGATAAGCATTCTGGAGTCTTGGGGCTACTTCTCTCCTTCACATGTGCATTCCTCTCTCACGAATCCCCTTTTCCCCTAAAACTGCCTATACTGTCTCTAAAATTCACTACCAGGGGCTTTGTTTACGGTGGAGGGTGGAGCACAAAGGCTTGGATGTGGGGCTGCCATGCCTCTGTAAGGGACAGAAAGGAGTTAGGTGGGTGAGACAGTAAAGGTGGAATCATTTTACCAGGTTTAACTCATCAGGGGAGCCATTCTTTGCAGTTAGAAAATCTCAGTGTTCTGCCAAAACCGGTTTGGCTCAGTGGCTAGACTAGCGTCGGCCTGCAGACTGAAGGGTCTTAAGTTAGATTCAAGTCAAGGGCATATACATTGGTTGTGGGCACATCCCCAGTAGGGGGTGTGCAGAAGGCAGCTGGTTGATGTTTCTCTCTCATTGGTGTTTCTAGCCCTCTATCCCTCTCCCTTCCTCTCTAAAAAATCAATAAAATACATTTTAATAATAATAAAAAAATCTCAGTGTTCCAAAATGGCACCCTCTCCTGCTTCCACCAGTTTGTTATCTGTAGTCATTTCACAGAATTATAGACCCAGCTATTGTCACAGCAGAAAGAGCCCTAGAGGCCTGGTGCTCCCTGCCTCCCTCCTCCCCTCCCCCTCCCCCTTCACATTTCACTTCACTGTTTCCAGATTCAATTTATTGGTTTCTTTTTTATCTAAATGGTGTGTCCCAGGGCATATTTTCCTAGAGCCTTCTCCATTTATTCTCTTCCAAGTGATCTTTATGACTTTTTTGGCCTTAAATACAGCTGTATTATAATGACACATTTGTGCGTATCTTTCATGACTTCTGAACTATCAGCATCCCCACTTGGATGTCTAATAGACCTCTCAAATTAAATATGTGCCAACTACAACTCCTGCTCTCTCCCCAAAATCCTGTTCTCCCCAGCTTTTCTCAAACCATCATCCACCCAGGGGCTCCTGCCAAAACCTAGGCAACCCTCTTGATTCCTGCTTTTCTCACCTCCCAAACATACTTCTTGCCTGTTCACCTCGAAACCTCCACATCCCTTTCTGCTTGAAATAACCCTCTCCTTCCTCGACATCCGCCGCTACTGGCTTTCGAACTCTGGGGAGCTTTTACCACCACGATGTGCAGGCCGCCTGTACCCCGCGGTCGATGGCTTGGGTCCGATAGGGAACCCATCCCAGGGGCCCTGGGCTGGAGCCAGCGCAGATGTGCGGCTCCAGCTGCGGAGGATCGGTGCTGCTGGGCACCAGCCTTTATCGCTTCCTCTCCCAGTGCCTGGGATGTTGGAGAGAACACTGGCCAGCAAGGTGGGGATGGGAGCAGGGTGATCACTGAACTCGGTTGACACTGCGGAACACCTGGACTGCCAGCCCTTGGCGGAGGGGGCGCGGCTTCCGGACCAGGGAGGTTTCTGGGAATCGCAGTCCCGGCTTGGCCAGCATCGGCCTCGGAGAAAGGGAAGTCGAAGGGTGGAAACTACATCTCCCATGAGGCTCCTTGGCTCACCGCGGGCAAGCAGGGGACAGAGGGGGCGCGCCCATAGAAAGGGGCGTGGCCAAAACTCCGCTACATCCCCAGCCCCTGGAGTTCCGCACTACCTTTCCAAAATCCCTTTGGCTTCTGCAATGCCGGCTCCTGGCTGTCCATGGGCTGGTGCGCGCGCTGAATGAGACTGGCCGGATGCGTGCAAACGCCCGAGCCTAGAGCAGAGCTGTAGAAGGGATGGCAGGCGGAGTCTTAAAGGCTTCGGCCAGGCGCTCCGCGTGGAAATTGAGAGGCGAGTTAGGTCTGCTGCCCAAGTCGAATTAAGGATGAAATGAGGGTGCCTGAGTTCGGTTGGTGGGAAAAATGACCCTCGTGGAAATAGGAATTCGAACTAGATTCATGGATCTGATTGGGCGGAAGTGGGATACAGAAAAATAAACAAATTAAGGGTGACTTCTGTATTTTTTGTCTAATCAGTGGGGTGCCTGGAAGTGGTAACAAGTAGAGTGACAGTGCGTTTAGGGGTGAGAATCACCCCTGGCTTGTGATTCCCACCAGACACCCAAGTGGAGACATTGAGTACACAGGTGGGAGGGAGGCCAGGGGTGGAGATGGGCTTTGGATGGAGGGCACACAGAGGAAACCAAATGGGCCAGATGGAGTTTTCTTGAGTTGGAAAGTTTCAGGACAGAAGGATACTACGAGGAGCGCTTCACTGGAAGGTTGGGTATGGTGAAACTTAAAGACATGACCTCTGGACTTGGAAACATGGATGTCTCTGATTTTTGCAAGGGCAATTCCAGTAGAGAGGTGGAAACAACATTTAGACTGGAGAGGAAGGGAGGGGAGTGAGAGGTGGGGAGGTGAAGACAGTGAATATCGATGTTGCTTTTAAGGAATTTTGTTTTAGAACTGAGAAATAAAGCAGAAGCTAATAGGGTGTGTGGGGGCCAGGGAGGTTTTGTCTCCCCTTCTTCCAGATGGAGGTATTACAGCTAGTTTGTAGGATGGTAAGAATGATCCAGTGCAAAGCAAGATTTATGATGCAATGAAGAGAGCAGAGCCACTGAGAGGTCAGAGGGGAGGGAACCCAGTGACACAGTGCATCGTGGTGGAAGGCAGAAAGCCTGGGCAGACACAAAGGTGGATAACGCAGGATAACGGATCCCCAAAGATATGCACATCCTCACTCCCAGAACCTGCAGGTGTTCCTTACATGGCAAAAGGCCTTGCAAATCTGATTAAGGAGTAAGCACCTTGAGAAAGAATATCCTGGATTGCCCAATTAAATCACAAGGGTCACAAGAGGCCTTCAAAACAGGAGGGTCACAAGGAGCTGTGACTATGGGAGAAGGGTCAGATAGATGCAACATTACTGGCTTTGAAGATGGAGGAAGGGGCCACCAGCCAAGGAATGCAGGTAGCCTCTGAAGCAGGATTCACTCTCAATCCTCCAGAAAGTGCAGCCCTGCCTTGATTTTAGTCTAGTGAATTCTTTCTCAGACTTCTAACCAATAGAAATGCAAGGTAATACATGTGTGGTGCTTTAATCCACCAAGTTTGCAGCCATTTATGGCCACCAAAGTTCACCACAGTGGCCTCTGGAAGCCACAGGGAACAGAGGTCTCACAGGTGGATCTGCTCTTCATGTGTCCCTGCAGATACATTCTATATCTATTGGTGTGGGGCAATTAAAATAATCCCAAGAATACTATTTCTATCTTCTCAAGCCCTGTCTTATGGACCTGCCTCCCTCACCCACCCCTTCAACAACTTATCCCCAGTCACTAAAATTAACCCTTTGCACTCCGAACCATTCTGGACATTGGCTACCAGCTACTCGACGCTACTTTGCGGCGGACACGTGCGTTGAATTAACTCAATTCCCCGTAATCACTAATAAACTGCAATGTCCCCCCTGAGAGGGGACATCCGAGTGATATGCTAGAATTCCGATGTCCCCTGAGAGGGGACAGCGGAGTGCAAAGGGTTAAGCTGCATCTGGTTAGAACCTAATGACTGAGGCCTCAGACTGAATCCTGAGGAGGCCAGTGTGAAATGCCCATGGAGGACAGGACCTGCTCTGCTGGGGGCCTTGGTCAGAGGGCTGTTGGGAAAGTTGTTCTGAAAGCACAGGTATACAACTAGAGAGGAGCACTAGATTACCTACAGCAGTGACTGCTGTTAACTGACCACATGGTAACTGTAGGTCCTGACCCAGCCCAGGAGGGAAGTCTCCCTACACCCCAGCTGCCCACCCTTTCACTCTCCTTCCAAGGTTCTGACCTCCTGAGCCCAGTCTGACCTCCAGTCCAAGCTGCCTGCAGCCATGGTGCTTTCACTTCAAGTCGTGATCTGGGTCACAGAAGTCACCAGCAGTAGTGGAAGCTTGCTCTCAGTCAAGAGAAGTGACAACGTCATACAAGCAGACTGACACCACACTCATGGATTCTACCACAGGTTTTTAAAAAGAAACTTCCAGCCGGGACTGGTTTGGCTCAGTGGATATAGGCCTGCGGACTGAAAGGTCCCGGGTCCAATTCCAGGCAAGGGCATGTACCTTGGTTGTGGGCAGATCCTCAGTAGGGGTGTGCAAGAGGCAGCTGATCAATGATTCTCTCTCATGTTTCTAACTCTCTCTCTACCCCTCTCTCTTCCTCTCTGTGAAATAATCAATAAAACATATTTTATTAAAAACAAAAAGAAACTTCCAAATCATGTGGCTAGAAACTAAGCACTAATTTATTCCTGGGAGCTCATGAACCAGAGAATGGTCCAGGGGATAGGCCGTCTCCCTGTTGCTTGGTTACTTTGGAGACAAACCCCATGCCAATGACATCCATCTCCAGGCTGCACAAACCCCAGGGAGAGCAGGTCAGGTCTAAGGACCTGCAGGGGAAACCCATCTGGAGCTGCCATGCAGTAGGGAGGGGGAAGCACTGTCCACTGTGAGACAGAGTATCCCATCTCCACTGCCATGACACTGCTTACTTTGCTGACGAAACGTGAGCATTAGATACAGGAAAAGCTTACTTAGTTTGGTATTTATATTTGACACATTAATGACACCACATCATTCAGTGATACTTCAGAGGAGTAACTAACTCTCCAAAATCATTTATTTAGTAAATTGAAATGTTCTATAACAACCTAATTTACAAACTCAAGTCTGCTAAGTGCAAGACATACAGAAAAACTTGCTTCTCTGACAGCTAAGGGCATTTCTGCACCTGCCTCCCCTGTGCCCTGACTCAAGTGGCAAGTTCAAGTTTCTGCTCAGGTCAGGGCCTGAGGACTCCTTCTGCCCCAACACTAGTGCCCTGCACTGAGGAGAAGCTCAGCACCACTCCGGTCACCCCTGCCCCAAGGTCCACGCAGTTCCTAAGAAGGCTGGACAGGCAAAAGCCAGGGAGAGGGAGCCCTGGTGGTAGCTCTGCAGTTAGCTCCCTCCTTGAGGTGGGGGTGGAGCCGGGAATAGGACTGTGGGGTCCATAAAAGTTACTCTCTTAAGGAAAGGGCTAGGAGCCTGACTGGGCTGGTCATCCAGAACTTCCCCACAAGCCATCCACTAAAAAGAACAGATGTGGGCAGCATCAGGACCCTGCCCCACCGCATCTGGACTCCAGGGAGGAGGAACTAGAGGTGGGAAGGCTGCGCTCACCTTTGCAGGCTCAGGACTGGCAGGCTGGTGATGGTCACCAAGGCCTCCAGATGCTCTGGACTATGCCCGCAGAGGTCAGGCCGCCCAAGGCCACGGGCACCAAGTCCAGGCCCTCAGCAGATGCTCGGCTCAGTTCAGCCTCGGGGGCCTCCTCTAGGTCAGAGCACAGGTCGTCCCCGGGGGCTGGAGGGCTGGGGGCTGGGGGGCTGGGTATCGGGGACACCAGGGCCCCTCCTGTGAGCCAGCTGCTTCGCCTAGTGTCTCCCGGGGAGCCGGCCAGAGCGTCCCCGAGCAAATCCCGGAAGCTGCTGCCCTCGCGCAGTGGCATGGACTCAAGCAGGTGGTTCAGGAGCTGGGCGGCGACGGTGGCGTCGATGGCCTGGCACGTGGATACGAACGTGTGCACCTCATGCATGCACTGGATGTAGCCGGCAGCGAAACGCTCGCTGGCTTCTGCCTGCAGCTGCTCCAGCCCTGCACCCGGGAATGGGAGGGAGAGAGCCGCGCCGGGTCCGGTGAGCCTGGACTGCCGTGGCCAGACCCACCCGTCAAGCGGTGCCGGGGCTCACCCCGAAGATGCTGGGGCACGCCTGGCTCCGGGATGAGCTCTCGCCGCCCGACAGCACTGGGGCGTCAGCCGGAGAAGTCTTCAACTCGGCGAGCCCCAGCCCGCGCCCGGCCGCCACTCACCGCGAGCCCTGCCCCGCAGCACTCCCTGCACGCGCCGCACCGTCAGCTCCAGCACCTCGGCGTTCTCCAGCTTGGCCTGCACCTGCGCCGGCGGGGGCGCCCGGTGGGGAAGGGAGGTGAGGCGAGGCAGTGCCCGGCCCCCGTCCGCCCGCCCGCTCAGCAGCCCCTGGACACCGGCCCGCCAGCCTCACCTCCGGGCCGGCCAGCAGCTGCCGCAGCTCCCGCAGGCTCTCGTTGATCCGCGCGCGCCGCTTCTTCTCCACCAGTGGCTTCCGGGCCTGCGGGAAGCGGGAGACTGAGCTGCGGCGCTGCCCCCGCCCCCGCCCCCGCCCGCCCCGGGCCCAGCCCTCACCTTGCGGTCCCCCCGCGCCTCCCAGCGGTCCTTATTCTCCCGGCCCGCACGGTCCCGTCTGGGCGCCAGGGGCGAAGCCATAGTCAGCACTGCCCGAAGCGCCGCGGGCGCGCCCAGCGCCCTTTGCTGCACCGCCGGCGACAGCCCCTGCCCTCCCGGCTCTCGCTTCTTCCGCCCGCACGCGGCCCCGCCCCTTTTATAGAGTTTTATTTGCATGTCTATGCGCCCATTGGCCGCGTGGGGCTGGGGCCGCGGGCCGGAGGCGCACCGCAGCCAATCACAGCGGTGCGCTTTGTCCGGCCCCGCGGTCCTGGTCGGTAGGCAGCTGGCGGGGCGTGGCGGGAGGGCGGGCGGGACCCCCAGCTCCGCGTCTGCGCGACCCTCTCAGGGGAGGCACCGCAGGGGGCGGTGACCCATGGAGCGGAGGCTCGGGGTGCGCTGGTTTCCCTCCATACCCTGAATAACGGCCCCCGAGCATCTGTGCGTGCGAGCAGGAGCTCATCCATCCTTCCACCTAAGCATCGCATTTGGGTTTATAAAGTGCCTCCCCGGAGGAGCGCTGAACACTGAGTGCTGAGTGTTGAGTCCCGGACGTGGCGGGCAAAGTCAGTCAAGCCCGTGGTCTCCAGACTGGAGGGCACCCGGGGTCTGGACTTGCGTGGCTGCAGAACCCCGAAAGTGGGAGCCCATAGGGAAGCAGGGGCGGGAGCGGGCCGTGGCCCCCTGGCGTTCCTTGCGGACCTGTGTGTCTGCACACCGCCCTCCCCTGCGCCGCCCTCCGCCTGAGCGGGGATCCTAGTGAACATTAGATACAGGCTCCCCTTCTCTGGTCATTCTCTCCACCCCCGCTCGTCCTTCCCTCCTCTGCCCCGCAGTCCCCACAGCTGGACATCGTCCCGTCACCCCTTGAGCCTCTATCTCCTAATCCTAATGCCCTTCGGTTCCCCTTTGACTTCCCTTTCCCCTCTTGGCTCCGCGTCCACCCTTCCCCGGGCGCAGCACCCCTTTTCCGGTCCCCATCCCAGCTCCCCCCTTACCCCCTTATTATTCCCCACCCCCCCTCCCTGGTCCCCACCCCTGGTCCTTTGCCTGGCCCCCCTCTCCCCAGTCTCCTCATCCCTCCCGCCGTGCCCGCCCCCTTCGGCTCCCTTTACCCTCCTGCCCCCTGCCCCCCGGCCCGCCGCCCACCCCCCTCCCGCCCCGCCACCCAGGCTCGCAGGAGCCGCCGTCTGGACCCCGTAACTTGATGCCCGTGACAGTTGGCAGCTGCAGCCGCTTCTGCGGAGAAAAGCGGCGGCCGCGCCAAGAGAGACAGGTGCTGGCCGTTCTTTTGTCGCCGCCGGCTTTGTCCCGCGGGCGCGCCTGTGTCCGCCAGACGACCGCCGCCCCCACCGCGGGGGCCGCCCATCTGCCAGCCCGGCCTCCGTGCCTTTGGGATGTGTGGGCCGTGGAGCCTCGCTCTTGGACAATGCCCTGGGGACGCCTGTCAGGCCCCTGCTCCACCGGCCTACGCTCTCACCACCAGGAAGAGCCAGATGCCAAAATGCCTTGTGGCACCGCCTTCCGCCAGGAACACTCTCCAGACTGCCCCTTCTATGGCTATTTCCTCACTGTTCGGACCTCAGCTTCCTTATTCATTCACCTTGGTGGAAGTACAGCAGTTCCACGGCAGCACTGCACCCTTAACCAGTGCTCTCCGACTCACCAGGGATTAGGATTAGGATTGTACCTCCATCCCTGGTCAAGGATACAGCCTGATCTAGGGCCCCCTATCTACCTGGTCTCCTAGGAGCAAGGGAATGTCCAGGAACTTTGGATTGGTAGAACTAGGTAGAACTATCACCACTCCATCCCCAGCCACTTAAGGCAGACCTGCCAGCCCTCCAGGTGGCAGTTTCACTTGGCTCCCCACCAGAGGGACCTCACAGGCAGGGCTAGTTTAATGAGAGGTTTGAAGGTTTCCAGAGTCATCTCACTGACTTCTGTTACTACCTGGAGTCCCTTCTGCGGATTCTCACCTGTGTCTGAGCTGCCACGTGGTTGTTGCTTTGTGAGCAGGCCCCTGAGACTTCCCCAGCCCACACTACTCACCCTGACAGGCATCCCCAGGGCATTGTCCAAGAGCGAGGCTCCACGGCCCACACATCCCACAGGCACGGAGGTACGAACCTACTCCTTTACTTTGCTCACCCTGTTGTCTCCTCCATAAGCCAGAAAACTCAGCTCTCTTCCTTCTGCCCTCTCCTGGTTGCTCAGAGACCCAACTGGCCTTCCATCCTCCATACCTACTGGGGGCACTGGCAGAGTTAGGGGGTGGACCCCAAGCTGGCCTAAACATTATTCTTCTTTGCCATTTAGACATCACTCCAGGAAAGGAAACCCAGTCCTGCACACCACACACACACACACACACACACACACACACACACACACAACTACAGTTAAGTTTTCACTACTTTGAGAAGCTGAGATATGGAAAAATAAACTCAGTGATATTTCTCAAATTATGATTCATACCCCTGTCATTGGCCATTATATTATTTGAACAAGGCCAAACATGTGTTTTAGAGTCCTCTCCATGAGAGCCAGCTCATAATGGAACAGGATGATCGGGACCTTGAGGGAGGCCTCAGGGGAAAAGATCAATAGAATACCTGATTGGGTACTGAGTGTGGGGGGCCAAGGAGGACAAATAAAGGCAAATGGTGCAAGCAAAAAATGAAAGGCAACAAGGAACTCCAGAAAAAATTAAAAATGAAAAAACGGTCCCAGAATAATCTTAGCACACTATTTGGCTCAGTAGCCAATTCTTTCATAGTCATAACACTATTCATAGGGCTTCAGCATTTAGAATCAATCTGTAGAGAAGGCAAGGAAAGCTTAATTATGATTATAGGACATAATATAAAGTTGGTTGTAAAAAGAAAGGACAGGAGACAGTTGTCAGGGGAAGGGAGGAGATGAAAAGAGGGCTGGGCCTTGCTTTGCATGGGTTGGGGGTCGGGGTGTTGAAGAATGCTGTTTAGAGTTGAAGGAAGGAAAAATTAAGTGCTGGGATATGCCCAACTGGGATATGACCAAGAGCTTTTGGCAGGGGAGAGGGGGAGGAGAGAAGCATAAGGATAGAACAGGTGTGTTAGTTTTGATGGGACTGGATGTTGCCCAAGGCCCCATCTTTGAAGTCAGCCTCAATTTCGCTCCATGGGCCACTAGTTGGCTAGTTTGGCCTTTCCTTACAGAAGCCTGGCTACTCCATCATGGGGCCACCAAGTCCTCACTTCCTCCTTAACATGACCTCCCTGAGCAGACCTATTTCCTGCCATTTGTCCCTTGGACTGATCCCACCTTCAAAGGTTGCCTGAGCACAGACTTCCTGAGTATACCCTTTGATCCCCTTAGATCCAGGAACAGAGGCCAGCAGAGGCTGGGCAGGGCTTCGGTGGCCACAGGGGGACCAGATAGTGACAGAGGTGGCAGGCCATAAATCCCCAGGGAACAAAGCAGTGGTCAGCCTGAGGATGTCTAGGCCCCTGGTGGGCAATCAGCCCAGGGGGCTCTCAGTAGCTTTTAGTTTGTAAAAAAAAGGGGGGTGTTGTCCTTGGGGTTATATGGGAAATAAAAATGCAATTAAGGGTCCCCAAAGGCACTCAGAACTTCAGTGAAACAGCCATATCTGGCTATTTAAGGCTTTTCAGAGGCCTCTGTGCTCACTGGGAGGACTTAGCCTTTTGTCCCCTTCCCTCCATCACCACGTGGATGTAGGCAGTCAGGTCAGGAGGCAGGGTCAAGCCTCCTGATTACAGGATGAACTTTATATTATGTTCTGTAATAATAATTAAGCCTTCCTTATGTTCTCTATAGATTCTGGAAGGCTGAGGACTGGGTCCACGATTCGCTCATCTCTTCACTCTGACCTGCCATGGTCCTCTAATGTTTTGACCGGGCCCTGTGTGGCTTTATTATCACAAAGGAAGGAATGGGCAGGTGGGCTGGGGGAGATGGTATTGTGCTGCCTGTATCATCTCTGATGGAGACAGTAGGCTTTCCTGGCCCTGCCGTCCTATCCTCAGCCCTGTGGTCAGCATCCAAGCAGCCAGCCCAGGGAAGACAACCTTGTGAGGGCACAAGGGAACAAAGTCGGTGGCTGTGGTTATGCAGAGCAGAGAGGAGCTCCAGGGCTGAGTAGAACACCCTGCCCCACCCCACCCCACCCCCAAGTGATAACAGGATGAGCTTTATATCCTAGAAAGTCCACTGGGAAGGGCCACCCTCAGACAAGAGGGACCAACTCAAAGCTGCGTGCAGGGAAGAGGGGGTCCTTTGTGAGAAGAGTCTGTAAGGTAGAATTTCTAGAATCCCTTTAAAAAACATCTTTTCATAATCTTTTATCTCTATTCAGTTTTTCCTGTGTTACATTAAAAATACATACAAATAAAAACAAAAATATACTTGCTTTATTTACCAATTTTCTAAAAGGCAAAAAGGTCATAAAAAGACACAAGCAGTCAACAACATATTGCACTGGGCGGAGAAAGCTTGGTTTGGGCATGAACCAATCACTTGTCCGGCAAGGCTAACAAATCATCTCACAGGCTCTGGGAGCTTATTTACATATATTTTAGAAATATATTAAAAAGAAGGCTCAGTTTAAATTTGAGGAAAGGTTTTCCTAACACCTGTGTCAGCACATACACTAAAGGAAACACAACTGGAGGCATGGCACCCTGTAAACAACTTCACAAAATGCTCCTGTTGGGTTCTCAGCACAGTGGAGCTATGCAGTCAACAACCAATGGGTGTGCATTAACAATGAGATAATGCCGACGGTAAACACTCGTAACAGTAGAGGACGTTTTGGCAGTTTGTGTTCAGGGAACCCCTGTAATCCCTTCATGACCTCACTTCAGAGGCAGGGAGCAGTCTGTACATCTAATTATCACACAGAGGCACAGATACATCCTCAACTTGGGTTCCTGAAGGTGATATTACTTTGTAAATAAAATAAAAGTTAGACACTGTTTTCTGTTTCAGTTAATTAAAAATTGGATTGATATTCAAGAATAGAATAGTTTTATTATGAAACCAACTGGATTAAAGGGGACTTCATTATTCTGTTAGCCACTTCTCCATCAAAGAACAAGCAGAAACCTGCTTCCTTTAAGTTTCTACAGACTCAACGAAATTTTAAGTCAACTGCTTCATCAGTGGGAACTTCTCATTCACTCCAGGGACCAATACAATTTTTTCCGAATGATCTTTGGGATATATGACGCAACATGAGGTTTTGCAAAAAGTTGGGCAGACTGGCCTCACTCTTCCCCAAGGGTCCCAAAGACCTGAAAATGCCAGAGAAACCGGGGGAAGTCACCAAAGAGACCGAAGCTGCACCAAGTGAGGTGAGGCTCATAAAGAGACTAAGGGCTGTGCCAGCCCAGGGTGTGGTGGGAAGGGTGAGCTCACAGTATCAGCGGCTGCTCTGCCCGAGCCAGAGCTGATGTCTGGGACTCGTCAATTGAAGAACACGAATGGGTCCCAAACGCAGGGATCAGAGCCTGGTTTGCAGAGGGAAGTCACCATTAAGAGATGACAGACAACATGCTTTCATGTACATACTGGTCATGGTCTGAAAAGCAGCCAAGAATGATGTTCTACATCAATGCACAGAAGGGTCTGGGTGAGTGTTAATCTGATGGAGTTGGTTACACAAATCACTAGGCCTTAGTCCAGAGCAGGCATTTCAACTTTGTTCACCCCAAACTAGAGTGACATCAGGTAGAAATGCCTGGTACTACGGTGCCTGAAGCCAAAGCTGCCGGTTCGCTTCACACCACTTAATGCGAAACATTTTCAGAAAGAAAATTAGGAGAGGCAGTCATTTCCACTTGGTTATGTTTTAAAAACATCTAGTTTGACTAGATAATAACTTAGATAAAAAGCAGCTTTCAAGAGAGGACAGAATTTGATCCACACAAACACACCCTGCAGAGCTACAGGAGGGAGGCGTGCCCTCAGCTCATTTGGAGTCACACATGGGCACAGCCTGGTGTGATGCCTTGGACACCTCCCAGAAGCCTTGCCAGTCCAGGGACTTCTGTGAGCACTCAGGTGACCTCCTGACACTTACACAAGGGAGTCAGTCTTTCTTAAGTTATATCACAGCTAAATCTCTTCCTTGTCTTCCCAAGTCCGCATTTATATTTCAAATATAAAAACGTATTTCTTCCTAAACTCTTCAACCTTCCAAAAAACTATGAATTTCTTTCCTAAAACAAACAAACAAAAACCAAAAATAAACAAATAAAAAAAAACAACAACGAAAATTGATCTGTCCATTTCCTTAGAAACAAATTGTGAAGCTCTGTCCTCTTCCATCACCGTGTAAGGTAGATTGGCTGTTGGAGTGGGTGGGGGTGGAGTGAGGGCAGTTACGTCTGCCCTTCGTTTTTGTGGCTCAGGGGAGGTCCATTTTCCCTTTCTTTTTTGTCTGTGGCTTCGCTGAGTGCCAGAGGAGGGCTGTCTTCTTCATATGGTACACAAAAGCTGCCTTTTCCCTGGCTTTCACAGTAAACACATTCCTTAAGAGAAAAAAACATGAAATCAGTAAGAAAAATGCAGTTCAACCTGAGTTGAGGTACAGTGACCAGTTGTTAGCGGTAAGGCTGCTGGAGGAGAGGGGAGGACCAGCTGTTTCTGAGGGTGCTTCTCAGATGTGGGAGTCATGCCTGTTTTAGGAAGAGGCCAGCCCTACTGGACCTGATCTGAGAGGTGGTCTGCCTATGGGATCTGGAATTAAGTTACTAGCCTCAGTTTTCTCGTCTGTAAAATGGGCTATCAATAATGTGCCAAAGGAGGAAGGGTCCTAAGGGGAGCGATTCACTCCAGATGCCACTAAAGTTGGGGTTGTGTAAGACTGGGACAAAAATTGCATCAGTTCAGTGGCTGAAGGACACTGAGAACTGGCAAGAGCAGCTTCCAGGGTGTGGGCCTTAGAAGGGAGTGGGGAGAGAAGCTGGGGTACAGACATGTCTTCGGAACTTTCAGAAAGAAACAGAGACAGAAGGGGCAGCTGGAGGGAGGCAGCCATTAAGAGCAGAAATGTAATATTCCTATTGTTACTGAACAGTCTACCTGGACATTGAGGGGTTATGATAAGGTGTTCTTTTTTCAACATTGGTCCCAAAAAGGTTTTCTAAATAATCTCATAGGAAGATTAAAACATTTTATTTATTGGCTCAGTGGACAGAGTGTCAAACTGAAGGTCCCAGGTTCAATTCCCTTCAAGGGCATGTACCTTGGTTGCAGGCACATCCTCAGTAGGGGGTGTGCAGGAGGCAGCTGACCGATGTTTCTCAACAACGATGTTTCTAACTCTCTATCCCTCTCTGTAAAAAATCAATAAAAAAGAAAAAAATATATATATGACTAAAATTTTTATTTATTTATCGAGAGAGAGAAATATTGATTTGTTGTTCCACTTATTTATGTATTCATTGGTTGATTCTTGTATGTGCCCTGACGAGATTGAAACCACAACCTTGGCAGCATATTGGAACTACGAACCAACCTTTCGGGACTCACGGACCACCAGTGGTCTGCAGACCACCGGTTGGCAACTGCTGCTCTAACCAACTAAGCTATCTGGTCAGGGTAAGGTATTCTTTTTTAAAATAGAAAACAGAACTAAAAGAAAGAAAATAATTCAAATTTCAGCACATGATTGAGATTAGATATTTCAGAAGACCTTTTGGGGAACAACATTGAAAAGCCATTGGAAGAAAGTCCTTTGAAGTAGACTTACAGTGTCCCAGTATCTTTTCACTTTCTCAATAAAGTTTACATTCTGGAAGTTTTACATTCACAGAACAGTAAGCAGAATACCGAGTGCTCCTGAGAGCTTTTTAACGTGCTGTCAGAAAAGCAGCTCGGTGAACTTACCGATACATTGATGGCCGAGGGCAGGCCGCCTGCCCGCACCCACGGGTGCACCTCCTGCAGCTCCTGCTTCTGCTGCTGGGTGAACCGGGGCTGCAGCTTCTGCAGCAGCTTCAGCTTCTCTCTGTCCTCCTTCAAAACCTCGTCCACGTTTCTTCACCGCATGTTTGGAAAGAGGTAAGCTTTAGAATGTCTTTTTCCTTAAAGAACACACTTTTTCTTTCAGTATCAATAATGGAATTTTAGATGAATTTGATTAATGCAAATTTCCTTTTCATTTAAAATAGGTTACCCTGTTTAGGGTTACTTACCATCCCTAGTAATAATCTGTTTTTTTTCTATTAAAATGACACTCCAAGTCACAATTTTACTTTTACTTTAAATCATACACAGGAGCTGGGTGTTTGCAGATGCTTGGTTCTGTACAGGGCAGTTCTCACCAGGAGGCGGTGGGTAGAGAATACCTTCCCTTGCCTCTTGCCAATGCTGGGCCAGAGGGAAGCGGCCCTGGACATGGAGCCCTGGTCTGCCTACCCTAGAGACCTGGCTGTCCTGACCTCAGAGTTAATTCTCCCTCCCTTCCCTCCTCCCTCCCCCTCCCCCTTCTTTCCTCCCTCCTGCTGTATGGAAGAGGCTTCACAGAGGCAGGGACCATGAATGTTCCTTGGAGCAGCTGGGGACAGACCCGATTCACTACACAGCAGCTGGTGGCCATGGGACGGTTATCTACCTTGACCCTTGGTTTCTGCATTTCTAAGACATACATACCACATTTACCCCACAAGGTTACTGGGCAACAGAGCAAAAGAGATAAAGTTGGCACAGATGCTTCATAAATGTGTAGGGCGACACCGTGGAGGGTGGCCGGGAGCTCATCTTTCTCCCAGCCTGCAACGGATTACTCTGAAGGGCTCTATGGGCCCAGGCAACCATAGAGAGAACCTGCTTCTCTTTCAGCTCCACTCAACTCAACCTGAGAGGTGGCTTTCAGAGGGAAGTTCCCCCCTGCCATCCCACCCCCACCCCGACTGGCAGCCTTGTTTGAGGACTCTTTCACCCAACCCTTCCCCAGTCCTTAGGGACAGGCCGAGTGATTACCGGGAAGGCATCTGGTACGTCATCATGACACTGTCGTCAGTGTTGGCCATCAGCAGCCAGACGGGGTCCTGGAGGACGTACTTGATGAAGTGCTCACTTTCTTCCATGTCTGCCTTCGCTTTTGCTTTGTGGTTATTCTCTGAAGAGTCAATGCTTCCGAAATACTTGCTGGTGTGGCTGGTGTTACTACTGCCTTAAAAACACAAACAGCGGCGGTTAGACCACTGATACCTTGCAGACCATGCTTGTGGACACGTGCCGGATTAGGGAGCCGAGAGTCTTATTTGGTAGCTTGTGCAGGTGTTGGTGGGTTTCCCCTTTTCTTCCCCATCCTCGAATTACCTGGATAATTAAAATGGGATACCAGCTAGCACCATGGAGTGGCTCTCCTGGGGAGTCATGAGCAGCCCTGGTCGAGCCTATCTTAGAAATCCTGCTCCCTTTCCTAGCACTCTGCACCTCTCCACCAAAACAGGCCACAGAGGAGCTGGTTTTGGTTTGTAAGTATGTTCCAGCGAGCCTCCTGAAAGGAGCAAAGCCAGAGAATGGAGAAGTGGGCAGCAGGGATCTTTGAGTTTGTGGGGAGGATTCATGTCCTATTTAATAGGTGCGCCCACTTGTGCAATCTGGTGGGTGAAGCACGCCACCCATATGCTAGGCTTGCCCAAGGGGAACCAACTAGGGAAGGCAAACCCTGGCCGGCCCTCCCAGCCTGCCCAGGGAGCCTGGGGGATGGTCCAATAAGGGCCAGTGGGTGTGAGGCCTGCTGTGGTGCTGACATGGAAGCCAACAGGTGAGAATGCGAGTTCTGACTGGGTAGGGCCCCACCATTTGGGGGCAGAGCACCTGTCTGCCTGTCTGAACTGCTGTGAGCCTTCAGTGCCAGCTAGGCACCTGCTGGACCTGTTGTGCACCTGGTGCTAGGCCCTGAGCACATATGGCCTGTGGCTCCGGTGCCGCTGGGTCCCTCTAGTGTGGGAAAAGTGAAAGCTGCCCAAGTACCTCAGGTACCAACATACCTGTCCCAATTCTGGATGTATCACAGCCCAGAGAGCTGGAGCCCAGGGAGTCTGAGGTGGCAGAGGCCCCGCTTCCAGACAGGGCTGACCCTGCAGCTGAGCAGAGGTCCTCGCGCAGTAAGAGGTCAAGCAGGTCGCTGGACGTGGAGAGAGCATCACTGTTCTGGGCATCCGAGGGCTCACCTTGCTTTAGGAACGAGAGAAGACACCAGTTAAGACACAGTCAGGACACAGCTCTCCAGAGCTGGGGGGCAGCTGCAAAGCAACTGTCTGTACAAAGCCACTCAGGGCGATAGTGGATGGCACTCCTCCTCAGCCCCTGCTTTTCATGTGCCAAGTGAACAGACCTGTGGGTATTGGGACTACAATTAGGATCTAGGTGGTGGCCTATGAATACATCTCATTCAAGTAGATTTTGGGAGAATCACGCAGTTCTCAGATCCCTGGGGGGAAAGTTTTATGCCTGCTCTTCCACTGCAGCATACACAGAGGAAGAGGCCACCACATACCCCAAGGCTGCTCTTTGGTGATGGGTTCTGGCTTCCTGTACCTGTGCCCCAGAGTGGGGGCAATCCTGGGAGTACCCCACCCCTCTGGCCATTGGAACTGAAACTGTAGGCCAGACCCCAGGAACAGTGGGGAGGGTGGTAGACACCTTGGAAGGCTGATCTGTGTTTCCTGGGCCCCACTTCCTTTCATAGCTCAGGCCACTGCACACTGAGCTGTCAGGACACAAAACCTGTGGGAAACTATGTTTTCATTAATGGATTAAGAATATGCCAGTGGTCCTAAAGGCACAGGAGAATGGGGCCGCTGGCTCATTGTGAAAACCTCTGCCCCCACCTCCCTCTCAGGAGCTGAGTTCTGGCATTTAACCAGCTGTGCTGTGTGCTCATAGTTGTTACATAAAATCTCAAGCCCGCCCTGGCTGGTGTGCTCAGTGGTTAGAGGGTACTTAAGGGTTAAGGGTTTGATTCTCAATCAAGAGCATGTACCTGGGCTATAGGGTCAATCCCTTGCCCCCGTCAGGGAATGCGTGGGAGGCAATCAATCAATGTGTCTCTTTCACATCAATGTTTTTCTGTCACTTCCCCCTGCCTTCCTTCCCATCCCTTCCATTCTCTTTAAAAACCAATGGAAAAAATACCCTCCGTGAGGATTAACAAAACAAGAAAGAAACAAACAAAAAACCTCAAGGCCCATGACAACTAGTCACAAAGTCATGTGGGCTGTTTGGACCTTGCACTTATCATCAGACAATCAATCTTCCTTCGTTCAGATCCAAGACAATAAAAAGACCCCAAGCCTACTCTGATCAGGTTGTTTAGCTGGAAAACATTAATTTCCGGCACAGGTATTTATGTCAACATTGATATACTTGGTGGGACCCTTGGTGTAAAACACTGGTGTCTGAGATGATGACCTACCGTAGGCGCTGCGGGGCCACCCGCTGTAGAGTAAGAGCAGCAGGGAATCCTTGTATTCGGTGGTGCCTTTGGTGGCCAGTCCCAGGATATGCCTGGTTTGCAGTCTGGTCCAGGACCTGCTGACCCTGCTGTCCCTGCAGCCGTAGTGCTGCCCTCAGGGGCCTCCTCCAGCTGAAGCAGGTTGAGCTGCAGAGGTGAGCTGCCGCGGGACTGGAAAAGTGGGGGGGAGGCCCGGCCCAATGGCCCGGTGGATGACACTGGCGTAGCCGGGGTGGCCACACGTGACACTGGTGGCCAACACTCTGCCCGAGGACAAGCACACGACTGTTTGGGGAGTGAGGTCTGACCAAGAAACTCAGGCTGCGAGGCAGGGATCATCTGAGCAGGGAAGAGGGTCGGGGGCAAGTTCGGGGTCACTGTGGGGAAGGGATAGGTGGGTAACACCAAGGCCATGACTGGGGCCAAGGGGGCGGTGAAAGGTGGGGGCTGGATGTCCATGGGCACAGTGGGCACCGTGAAGCTGGTGTGGGGCTCCATAGGTGCTGCTGCCACGGCCCCTGGCACTGGTACAATTCCTGTGGCTGGGAGCACTGGCAGGGAGTAAGCTGGCATTGAAGTAGGGAAGGGTATCGAAGGGCAGCTGGACTGAGATGTGTCTGATGGTGACCAGGCTGTGGCATTCAGGCCCACCAGCGGGGGCCGGTGGGGCACGGGCCCCCCAGACCCAGTGCTCTCAGAGGAGTCCCGACGCTTGACCCGTTTGGACTTCAGTTTTCTGTTCTTCCCAGTTTTTTTCCATGGTGAATCTATTCCACAAGTGTTTCTTAGTCCAGGAGCAGCTACAATAATGGGGGGGAAAACAACAGAGTTGAAAATGTATGTGATTTCTATTATGTCAATTCTCAGAGACATATAGGATCTCAGAAACTTAAAGGCACCTCCTAGTTTAACAGTCCAATGTTCCCAAATGTTAGCCTAAAAACTGTCAAAAATACCATATGATTTTCCTGATCCTTGGTGCAATGAGAAAAATTAGGACAAAATGTTAAGTTTTTATAAAACTGGATTCAATCAATTTTAAGGACCATTTTTAATTGCAAGATCACATTTCTTGTTTTCTCCTGGCATTAAAATGTCCTTTCTTTTATGAAATAATGATGGTGATAAGTGGCATTAAAAAAGTTTTATTTGTCCAAAAAAATACAAATTAAAAAGTTGGCATTTCTATGCTGGTACTGGTTTGTGAAATCTGATGTCATCGAAGCTAGTTTTTGGATTTTATGAGCTTTGCCACTACTGGTCCTTAAAGAGATGCTTCCTGTATTGCCTGTGATTCCACCTAAGTGCAAGTCAAAGGGTGGGAAGGAGCACTTGCCCTCAGAGCCAGATTCTTCCTCTCCAGTGACAAGTGGCTGAGCTTCTTTAAGAGGCTGGAGGATCTCAACTGGTGACAAAAGGGACTCTGGGCATGTCCCCATGCCTCCCTCCCCTGGCCATGGGCCAGCACCAGGAGTACTATGGCTGGGTGGGATGGGCAGTGGGATGGTCCGAGGAACCTCAGGTTTTCCTGTCTTGGCACACAGGCTGACTCAGGGCTCTTGCAGCAGGTGTGTGGGACACCTGTCAGCTGTGCCAAGGGAGTCCTCACCTTTGCTACATGCTGGAGGCAAGTGGGCCAGCTAGAGGCAAACCGCTAAGAGGGCAGAGGTTTTGTGATTCAGACTCTAGTGGGTGTTCTTCCAGAAGGAAATCTGCCTCTGGTGGGACTGGTGGCTAGAGCACTGGCCTCCTGCAATATCATGTCAGGGTCTGGGCAGGCTGCTGTGCATAGCTCTGCAGTCTGTGCACCTCGCAAACTGCTGAGCAAAGGAGGCAAGGAGCTGCAACTTTGTCTCAAGCCAGATCCACTGGGTGAGTCTGCCCAGGACTGGGAGAACACCTTTTTGTAATTTCCAGAGGTTCCCTAGGGCCCGGCAGTGACCTTGGGTTTGGGGAAGAAGAAGATGAAAAAGAGTAGGAAAGATAATCTTTATAGAGGGTGTTGACTTCTCTCACTTCATATTCACTTCACTGTGCCTGTCCTGAGGCCCAGGAGAGTTGGGGTCATGTGCTGGGTGTCTCCTGCGCTTGCTAACCCTGACCCTGGGTCAAGCCCTGGGAGCCCAGGACAAAGGTGGCATCTCTGACCAGCCCAGCCTTGTCCATGGGGCTTGGGAAGGTGGCTAGGGGTCTGGAGCCAGGCTGGACCAGAAAAGGGGCAAAGAACTAGTCTATCCTCCCTCATCTCTTGCCCTTCAACCACCTGGTGGCAATCTGCCTAAAGTACAGCTTCATTTACACACAGGCTCTGGAGGCTGCAGCCTACCCTGAGTCAGCCTGGCCAGGAGGTACATCTTCTGGTATCAGCTTGGACTCCCTCCTTCCTCAAGAGCCAGCACCAAATACCCCATCAGCACTATGCCCATTCTCTTTGCCTGCCTGGTTTTCTGAGAGCCCCATTGGGGTGGGCAGATGGGGTGGAGTCCCCTGCACCTCACAGTCACCCAGCCAAGAAGTGTCTAATGAGGTGGCATTGCAACTGCCCCATCCTGCACTCCACCACTATTTAAAGCACAGTTCCCTGGGAAAAACGAGATGACATCCTTGAGAGGGGGCCATGGAAACAGATGGCATCACTAGTAAAGTCCCAACAGCAATCTTACAAACTCAGGCTTCCTACACTGGGGGTACTTCACACTTTGAAAGCTACACTGGACTTAGTACTATTAGAAATAAAGGTTTTTAAAATCCACATACAAATCAGGTAACACCACCTACCTCTTTCACTCAAATGCCCCTTGGATCTCTCTTGTAAGTAATAATTGCAGTGAGACTGGAGAGCACTAAGTTTCCTCGTTTCCTTGAACTTCAACAGGAAGCTCTGCTCCTCCTTCTGGGTGTGGGCAGCCAGCACTTCCTTGGTGAGGCCCAGCCTCCGAAAGGGCTCCTTCTCCTGGCTGAGGCTGCAGGGCATGGCGGGGCCCAAGAGGCAGTCCAGGGACTCAGGTCCACTTGCAGGGTCTTCCACCGTCTCTGTAAGAGGAGATGCAGACCACTCATCTGCAAGGGGCCCTGTGTTTTAAAACATCTGACAAACCCTGAGACCACTGCCATGTGAGATACTGCACAAAGCCCCCACATGGGGTGAAGTCCATGAATATCTGTGTAGCCTTCTAAGAAGGTTCACGAAAAAAGGCAAACAGCAATGGCAGAGACCCTTCTACCCAGGGCTCCAGGGTAGTTTGCTTAGGCTGAAGTTCGGGTACCTCGGGGCTTCAGCCTCTGACAGGGAAAATACTCTCGCTGTCATCAGCTTTCAGAGCACAACACACGAAGGCTGCTGTGTGCCCCGCCCAGGTTCAGGACTATGGACATGGCAGCTTGGATCATGTGGAACTGAGGTACAGACAGGACAGGGGCAGATGCATGCAACGACCGTCCTGGAAGGGGGTCTGGACACTGACTCGGACATGTATTTTTTTCCTCATTGTCTCCCTCTTTTGGAGAACAACTTAGAGATGCCACCCTTGGCTGTACTGCTTGCTGTTCAGACCTGTACTGGCTCTTCCCTGCCCTCAAACTGGGAAGTGGGGACCCTGAAGGGAAGGGCGAAGCTGGGCATGGGAAGCAGGGAGAAGGATCCAACGCCTGAGGGTTCTCTCAGCCCAAGAGGGGAGGTTATAATACTTTGGATCCCTGGCTCAGCACCACAAAAGCCCTGTCTATATTTATGCCTGAGCAGACAACTGCCAGTAGGTGGCGCCAGAGCACAGCAGAAATCAGAACAGGTGGGGCCACACCCTGCCCTGCCCATCAGGTCTCTGGATTTCCTGGACCCCCTTTATCAGGCTGTGGTAGGGCTACTCTGCACTTGCATAAACTTAAAGAAAAAGTTAAGATGGCAGCCAAAACTTCTCATTTTCATTGTTAAAATTAGATTACTTTCAACATCATCCCAGAGCCAACAAGCATACCTAGCTCAGGTTGTGGCTTCTTGTCACCCACGTGCACGATGGTGCTGCTGTAGCTGCACTGGCTGGTAAGAGACACGACGCTCCCCGCCTTGCCGGGCAGCGTCAACGAGGTCAAGTGCGCGCTGACGTCTGCATGTGTGCTTGCTCTAGAGGGTACCACTGCCTCTTTATAAGAGAAAATGAAGGAGACACAAAAATGCAATGAAAACGAACCATTTGTGTAAGAAATGCCATTGTCTAGTCAGATCCTATACCCAAGTGATTGCACACATCCTGGCAGGTGACGGGCTATCCTCAAGTGTTTATTCATGGGGGAAAGGTGGAGGAGAGAAATTCTGAAATGTGGACAATCACTCTTACATCCTGGGTCGTCTGGGAGGGGCAGGCGGCTGGGCAGCTCAGGGGGCTCAGGTCAGGGGCCTCTGCTGGGAGCCCAACCCCTCGAAGGTCTGTGGGCAGAGCACAGACTGTCCATCACAGCATGACTGTCCAATTGCACATGCTTACATCACAAGGGGTTACCTGACTTACCAGCCTGGTAATGACCTCTGGGATGAGCACCACGTTCAAGTGGTCTGGCATTTAACCTAAGTTAATATTCAGACATCATGGAAAAGGGCTTGCCTGAGAATGATAACCTGAGAGGCCCCTGGTCTTCCAGCGGCCCTGAGGGGTCCTGTTCTCAGAGTCCAGAGTCACCTTTACATCTATCTTGTAGGAAGGTGGCTAACGTTTATGTGCTATCGTCATTTACAAAAGAGCCTACACCATATCCTGTGTCCCCATAGCCACTCAGAACTCCCAGCCCTTCTAATGATGCCTGATCTCACCAGGAGGGTTTAACAGCCTAAACATGATACCTGCAGGAGGTGGCCTGGGGCTGCCTGTGGCCTTTCGCTTGTCGCTGGCCTTCTGCGTGGAAGTATTCACTGGGAATTCACACTTTCTCTTCAGCGTGGTGGCCTCACTGCAGCTCTCCAAGTACCTGTGAGGAGGATCACAAACGGCTTCACATATGGGGCCAGAGCCTGGACAGCAGGACACCATGGAGTAGGGAGATGGGAGGTGCCCGCACCGGATGACACTGTCCAGGCAGCTGATCTGCTGGTATGAGCCGGCGGGCTGGTTCCTGCAGGCCAGCTCCTCTGGAAAGGCTGCAGTGGGCGGGCTGGTGCCGGACCTGTCCTCTGCGGCCGGTACGGCTGTCATCTGAGCAGGAGAACTATTGTGTGTTTCTGAAAGAACAGCAAAATTGCTTTCAGTTAATACTTGTTTTCCCCAAAGAGTACACTCTGTATATTTCTAGCTAGGGACAAAGCTGGGGATTCAGAACATGGCTCACAGACACAGAAACCCAGAGTCAGCCTGACACTTGGGCAGCCTTGCTGGGGCAGCGGCCACTGTGCGGTCTGAGGACGGTGCTGGAGGAACCTGTTACTGGGATATAACTCAGTAGCATTTGGTTCAGGGACTCAGCAGTGAGAGAGGCCAGTTCTTACTTGAACTCCTGAAACTTTGGGGCCAATAAATCCCAAGTGCTTTATGACCAATTAGTATTCCCTGCCTCCTGGAAGTCCCTTCTTTTCAAAGGTGACTCACAGCCTCTGGGACAGCCTGCCGCGGACACTTCTGTTCTTGTCATCGCATGCACCGTACGCTGTTCCCCTGGGAGCCTCCAGGGCAGAGCTGTGTCCTGCTCATTAACGTGTCCCCAGCACCCAGCACAAGGCAGAAGTGTGTGTCTATCCCAAAGGCCAACAGTCCTGGCCAGAGGTGAGCTCTGGCACCAAGATTCCCTAGGAGGCTCCCTGGAAAGATGTGGCCCAAGCACAAAGGATGAGTGAGAGCCCCCCATGCCAGATGCCTGGGGAGCATGCATGTGCACACCTGAGCGGGAGCCCAAGCGTGAGGGTATAAAGTTGTAACATGGTAAGGCAGGGTCAGCCTGCATTGGGGGTGGGCTGACAGCCCCCATGCTGGTGGGGCCCCACTTGAGAAGGCGGCCCAGGAGCAAAGCCAGCACTTTCCACTCAGACAGGGTGGGATCTGAGTATCTGCAGGACAGCTGGGCAGCGTCCTTGGTGCAAGTGTATGCACATGCTCACTTGAGTGCAAACACATGGCCCACGGCCACTCAGTGGAGCGAGGGCCTACATGGTGCCAGATGCCCACACTGAAGCTTGGGGCTGTGTTTTTTAAATATGTTTTTATTGATTTCACAGAGAGGAAGGGAGAGAGAGTGAGAAACATTGATGAGAGAGTATCATTGATCAGCTGCATCTTGCACACCCCCTATGGGGGATCAAGCCTGTAATCTTGGCAAGTGCCCTGTCTGGGAAGCTAGCCAGTAACCTCTTGGTGCATGGGACAATGCTCAACCAACTGAGCCACACTGGCTGAGCAGGGCTGTGTGTTGAAGGAGTGAAGGCCCTGCTGCCTAAGGGACAGGGCGGGGGATGTGCACAGTTAAAGGATAAATTTCCCGCCACCCACAGTTCAGGTGAAAGCCAGAAAAACCTGGCCAAACTACAGTTTTAATAAGGAAAGGTGAGTAATTTACCTGTAGCAGATTTTCTCTTCTGTTCTTCAGATTCATCAGAATAATGACTTTTGGTTTTGACCTTGTTACCGTTTTTAGAATTTTCCTTGAATAAAGACAAAATAAGCATATTATTCTCCATCGGAGACTGCATAGTGCTTCAGCCCCACCTTGAGGAGGGGGAAGCCAGAGTAATCTCAGCGAGGAGGAGGAGATGCTGAGTGGGAATCTGTGAGGCCAAGTTAGATAAAACAGATCGGTGATTTGGAACAATAATAAAAGGAAAGGGGGATGTACTTTCCATTTTCTTCCTTCTACCCTAAAGTTAAACCTTCCCTTTTGCTTGATTTGCCTTCTTTAAATAGCTTTTCATCCAAAGCTTAAACTACATTTTTAGCTGATTCAACTATTTCCCCCTTCATTTTCTTTTTAATCCTCATCCAAGGATATGTTTTTATTGATTTTAGAGAGAAGGGAGAAAGAGATTTCACATCGATTGGTTGCCTCCCATATGCACTCTAACTGGGGATTGAACCCACAACCTGGGTATGTGCCCTAAGGATTTAACCCATGACCTTTTGGTGTATGAGACGAGGCTCTAACTGAGCCACCCGGCCAGGACTTGCTGCTTCAACTCTTAGAGACGATAGAGTCAGTCCCCATGAAAAGAACTGAGAGAGCAGCCAGGGCTGTTTGAATGTGCTCTGTGACCCCCGCATGCACCACAGACAGGTTCCCAGGGGTGGGGCAGAGGGACCTACTGTTCTTCTCCTGCGGGCGTCCTCCTGGCCATTGCTGTCACTGGAGGAGGTCTGGCTCATGAGGTGTTCGTGGGACCCGTTGCTGCCCAGGCTCCCATAGCCGCTGGAACCGCTGTGGGGGACAGGCTGGGGAGAGAGCAGACAGGAAGCCTAGGTACAGGGTTGGGGGAGGGGCACCGCTGGCCTGTGGCTTTGTCTTCCCGAAGCCCGATTCACAGCTCTCAGCCTCCTCCCACAGCACCAGGGTCCCTGGATCACAGGCTTTGGAGAGATCCCACTAAGAGGGACTTCATTCAGTCTGCCCCTCTGCTCACATGGGTGGGCTGATCTTGGTTCTATCGAGGTTTTCGAAACTGAACTTGATATATTAGTTTTGCCCTAGTTGGCTAGCCAGGAAGCCAAGAGCTGCTCAGCCATGGGGTTACCGTGCTCGCACTAGTTTTCCTTGAGTACTATGTCCCCAAGGATAGTGGCAGGTGTTCACAAGTCCGTCTTCGTGCCAGCACAGCATCCTGAATTGGAGTGACCCCACCCCCTGTGGGAGGCGACATGTGGGGTCAGTACCCAGGACCTGGGAGCTGAGTCGGGAGCAGGGGTCTGGGTGCATCCTTCAGCCATTAACAAAAGGCTGCAGGTCAGAGACAGACCCCAAAGTACAAGGCTGGGGCTGCCCCAACCTGGGCAAGCAGCAGGTGTGCCCAACTGTCTGGGCCTGGCACAGACTTTGCCACACTGCCCACACAGTGGAAGAGAGAACAGGCACCAGGGTGCAGGACAGAGTGAGATGCCAAAAGGATAGGACCTCAGGACTCAGAGCAGTCCTCAGGCTGCCTACAAGGTAGGGATTGTCCTGCGGGTGGGCACTCACCTGCAGCAGCAGCCGGTGGATCTGCTCGGTGAGCTCCTGGATGCTGGGGTGCAGGGCCTGCTGCTCCTCTGCGCATGGCTGAGCAAACACATCCTCATTCAAAGGGCCCCTGCATGATATTCATGTCTGATAGTCAGGCTGTGCTGCACACCCCTGCAAGGCCCTGCTTCCTCTCTATACCCACCAAGCTGCCACCTCCCTGCTCATTCCCCCCATTCCCCCTCATAGCTCTGCTTGAACTAGGTCCTCCCACTTGGGGGCAGGGGCAGGGACAGGTCCCCACAGGCCTGCCTAGTGGCCCAGGGCCTGGGGCACTTACACTCTGACTCTGTGCCGCCCGATGATGAAGGAGATCTTCCTGCTCCAGGGGTTGATGAAGCTGGACCAGCTGGTGTCCAGTGTGATGTACTCCCCATTCCGGGTGCGGAACCGAAGGGGAGAATAGTCGAAGGGCTGCCCACCAGACTGCAGGACTAGGAGGGAAAAGAGCGTCCGGGGGTGAGAAGCAACCAGGCTTGCAGGAAGAGAAAAGACAAGCCCAGATGCCTCAAGTTCACAGCTATTTGAAAATTTAAGAGCTGCCAACACCTGTTCTAAGCTGCAGCTCTCAGTCTCAGTCAACTTTCTGTGTGCCTGTGTGTGTGTGTGTGTATGTGTATGTATCTTCTTTTTATTATTTTATTTTTTGAATTATTATTTTATTGATACTAAATATTTTTTATGTCTTTATTGTAAAAAGTATTTCATATGTTTCCTCCTCTAGCTGACCCCATCCTCAGTCCTTCACCACCCTATTGTCTGTGTCCATGGGTTATGCATACATACAACCATTCCACCTTTTTTTTTTTTTTTTTTTTGTACATATACCCTTGCCCCCCATTCCACTTTCAATCAAGACAAATGTTTGTTTTTGGCCACATCATCATGTTTCAGGATGTACATCTCTACTAGCTCCCACTGGATGTCTCCAAGTGTCATTTGTATCTGTAGGGCCTGGGCTTGGGGACATATGTGTTGAGCACTACCCCAGTCTGTCCACTACCTCACCCACTGCAGCTGAACCTGTGCCCCCTCCTCCCACCTGCTGGGGATACCAACAGTAAGAACAAGATGCCACTCAGGCCTGGGCCACAAAGGAACCCACAGGCAGTGCCAGGACTCTGGCAGGAGGTGGGGCATCCACCACCCATACGTTGCAAGCCAGTCTGACCCACCTTGGCTAGGTGCTGACCTCAGGAGACACCCTGGCACAAACCAGCTTTTGTCAAAGCCTTTAGGATTCACCATGAGAAGGGACCTACTCTTTTTGTGGATGGCAAGCATCAAGGGCCGGTCACTGGGGTGAAGCTTCAGAAGCACAGGGGTCTCGATTAGGTCTTGAGGTAGGTAGCCCAGGAGCGGAACTGCTCTGCAAGACAAGTGCACAGGAGTGTCACCCTGCAGTTGTGCTTAGGGACACATTCCATAATGCAGCCCCCAACAGAGGAGCAGACCATCTCTAAAACCATCTGTCCATTCACAACGAAAGAAAACAACTACCAGCTCCCCTGACAGCCCCACTTACAGGATCAAAATTTGGGAATTAGGCTAACAGAGAAGCAATCTTTCAATAAATTAGTAAAAGATTATAGCATTCCCATGGGTCTGTAATATGAAACAAGACCCTACAAGGTCCTAACCATCATAAGCTGAGTGGCTTTAGCTTTGTGTCCATTTCCTGAGAGAATCAACCATGAAAATGTTCCTTTTCTTCTGTTAAGATCTTTTACTTTTTTTGTGTTTCATAAATTTGGCCAGATATGGTCTGGCATGGACGTTTTTTATTTTAAATTTTTTTGGCATGGATATTTTTAACGAGTTTTTAAACAAGCCTGCACCTAGAAACCTTGCCTGCATCTTCTCCAGCCGAAGAGGTTTTCCTGCTCCTGTTACTTTGGTCACGATACCTACTCCTTATTTATTGTGGCTTCCCTGGGTGTCACCTGCCCTCAGTGCCCACTGATCTTGTAGAAGCTGTTAGTTTGTTTTCCGAGAAACGGTTTGTGTCAGTCTTCTCAGAGTCCCGCCCCCTCTGCTGTCCAGTGGCCTCTGCAGCTTGGCTGCTCTCCCCTCTTCTGAGCTGCAACCTCAGCCTTCCTCTCCTCGGGCAGTGTTTTGCATCCCACAGATGTTTTCCAAACTCTTCTGCTCATGTGGAAGGACATTCTCCTTTGAGTCTTAGAGAGAGGCCTCCCCGTTCCCTGTGGTGGGGAACTCCCTTGGGCCTTGTGTTTTCCTTTGGCCGGATGTACAGAATGTTCTTGGCGTCCTACCAGTTCTAGGCCTGGCCAGGAGTGAGGGGGGAAGAGAAGGAGAAAGGGGAGGAGGAGGGAAGAGGAAGAGGAGGAAAGGAGGAAGAGGGGGAGGAAGTGGAAGAGAAGGAAGAGGGGGAGGAGGAAGAGAGATGAGGGGGAGGGGGAGGAGGCGGCTTTGCTGAGGAAGGCTGTGCAGACTGTGTGCGCCTGCTTGCCAACCCTTCTGCATGGGAGTTAAGTAGACTCCTGGGGTGGGTTGCAGATAGAAGTTCTTAGATTTTTGGAGGAATAAAAATTATGTTGAGGTTGTCTCACAAATTCAGCTCCCAGTCCCACCCTCTGAGATCCTGGTTGAGCAGGGCTGGTGGGGCCCAGGAACCTGTGCCTGGAACACTCCTTGCAGCCATTCTGCCACAGGTGGTGGGCAGCATGCACCTGAGCAGCCCGGAGCTGGAGGCTGCTGATCCCAGGCCACCTGAGAGCAGAATTTTCCCAGGAGGCCCCAAGGTTTGTGCCCAGGGGTGGGCAGTGGAGAGGACCTAACTCTCGATGGTGTCTGTGGAGGTAACCTTGGCCCAATTCAGAAAGCTCAGCATGCTGGCTCTTCTCAGTCTACTTCTCATGTGTCTTCAGAGCAATTCCTCCCCTGGAGCATTTTCTGTGCAGAAGGAGCTGGAGGAAGGCACACCAGGGCTCTGGCCTAATGCAGCGAACCCACAGATGTCAGTGCTCCCAGGGGCTGCAGCATCCTGGCTGGCATACTCACAAAGGGGCTCTGGACAGATCATGCAGGTGACACACAGGCTGGCAGGTGTACTTGTGCTGGGACCCGCCCTTTGATGTGCACCTGTTCCAGGCACACCACCCCACTTGTCTAACCGTGAAACCAGTTTAAACAGTCTTAGAACAACTACCAGCTCCCCTGATAGCCTCATTTACAGTCTTTGTATCTCAGGAGGTTTTTAGTGTAATTCCACAATTATCTTATTGCTTAAACATACTCAAATGCTTTTGTTGATTACCACACATAACATGCAGGCTTAGCTTTAGCTTAACAGCTTCACTGTCAAAACCATGAACATTCATTAAGCTTTCCTTAGTGATGAAGTAATTACCACGACAACGACAGAACACTAAATGTCTAGTGAGGGAACCTGCGGGCCTGGGGATGCAGCACTGGTTCTGAGACAAGAGTGAGCACAAGGCATGGCAGGAGGACAGCACACGGGGCTTACCTTTCGTCTATGTCCTGGAACAAACAATTGGGTGTATGTGTGGTCGTAAAAATTCTCTTTTCCGGAGGAATTCTAGGGGCTGAAAGAATAGAATTTTGCTCAGATGTCTGATTCTGAGAAATGCACACATTTTGTAGTTATATGACAACTACTAGAAAACCATGCACTTTGTTCAGTGATGGGGCTCTGACAGCAGCCTGAGAGCCCTAGCCGGCCCCGGCTCTGTGGGCCAGTCCTGCTCAGGAAAGCCAGGACTTTCCGTTTACAAAACCACACGCTACGCACAGGCTTCTCAGAAACTCCTGCTGCTGTAGGGCCATGGTCAAGATTTTAAGATCCAACAAGATGAGTGGAACAAATTTTTTAAAAATGAGTTAAGAATTCGGACTGAAACTTGTGCAAACGTCAATGTATTGGGACTTCAGTTTCTAAGATGGGCAAAGATAATTTGCATAAAGGAAGTCATATGGAGAACTTTCCTCAACTTCCAAATTCATGGACAAAACATTCCAAATTCCAAATGATTCATTCTTGATGGCAACTGACCTTATGGGCGAATAACTTGCTGGAATGTAAGTAACGCTATAAATCTTCATGAACTATTTGGAAGACAATATCCTATATGCAAGAACCCATTTTTTTTTTTTCAAATATTTAAAAGCAAGCCACTTACCTAAAACATTTATACCATTTAATGAAATGCCTTTTAAAAAAAGACATCACTAACCACTGAGAGCAGGTCATAGATTCTTTGCTTTCAGAGGTGCTGACCTGGGGATTTGCTGAGTTGCCACAGTGCTGTGGCCAGGACGAGACTATGCCACAGCTTGTTGGGAGGACATGATCAGGATGCTTAAAGAACCCAGATTTGGTAATTTGGGGGGTGGCCTGAGGAGCTGGCAGGACCAGGAAAGGACACTTGGCGAGATAAGCCTGATATAGAGACTGAATTTCTGTAGGTAGCGATGAGGAGGGGGGCACTAGGAGCAACATGGGGTTAAGGGGCCAACTGTCCACAGGAGCCTGGTGTCAGGAGGACGGCAGACTCAGTGGAAGGTAAGAGGGGATGGCTTGGGGTTCTGAGGAAGAGCTGGTGCCCCTGCACTTCAGCCGAGGCCTGGGTGTACACAAGGATGGGAGGGACTTGGGCCCAGACTGTCAGGGCTGTTCTCACTGCATGGATGGAAGGCAGTGGGTGGGGAAGGAGAAAGGCACCCACGGTCACAGTGAGATGTTGGCACAGACCCTTTAACTGCATGGGAGGTGGTGTGGCAGTGTCCCAGGAGGGTCAGGAGGCAAAGGCGGGTGTGCTGAGTCTCGAGGGACATGCTGGGGGAGGCTGGGCCGGAGTCTACTTTACAGACATTACATCTGAGCCAGAGGAGTAAGTGAGGGACCAGAGGAGCCCTTGGCTGGCCTGGGCCTGGCTGTCACCTTCATAGCCGGAGTGCACCCTCTCTGCCAGCAGCACACAGCACAGCTGGCTCTCAGCGCCCTGCTGCTCCGGCACCTTGACCAGGTAAGGCGTCATACGGAACGGGTGGTAGTGGATCTCATCTTCATGGTTCTTCCCAAAGCTGAAGAGGAGGGTGCCATTAGAGGGTGGAGTTATGACAGAAGGAACCATCCCTTATTGCTGGTCCCCTCCCCCACAGCTGGCTGTCATCTCAGCAATCCCTTTGTTTGTTGTAAAGATGCCCTCCCATCCTACCCCAGCATACTGGTAGTTGGATGGGCTGTCCTTGGCCTGTTGTCTGTACCTTCTCCCCCTTGAAAAGCTGGGCCCACCACCTGGCTCCTCAGATTTCCGATGACGTCACAGGGTAAGTCACAGTCATCAGCCCTGAGCATTGAGAGATCTTTGAGCCATCTCTAGGGCAGTTTGAGTTTTAATTAGGGAAAGAGATGCTGCTCCAACAGTGAGGGCACCACTCTCTGACCAGTGGTCACCCCTGACACTGCAGCTGGAGGCTTATCTGGTCACCCCGTTTTAGGCTAAAAGCCCATTGGGAAAGCTACGGGGCTCTCCCCTGAAAAATGAACTTAAAAAAATATACACTCGAACCAAAGGCTGCATATACTTTTGGGGTCCTCAAGGACCCCAGGATACACACTTCCACCGGGAAGGCCCCTGACCCATTTCAAGGTGATGGAGCAAGTCCCGGCTCCTCGGGCCGACATCCTCAGTGAGGACTGGTTGAAATCACCCCACTGTTGACCAGGCTTCTTAACCCCTTGTGAACATTTAAAATGCAGCTCTGACCACGTGCTTTCTTTTCACTCACTTTTTTAGAAATATGAGTGCTTTAAGGCCCTCACTCCAAAGATGGGACACAGACAGGCTCGTGGCCCTAACTGCCTGTCGTGGAGCAGGGACTTGTGGGAGACACCTGGGCCTCCTGCACTTCTCACCAGGTGCTCAGTGTGAAATGGTTGAGCCATTTCAAGTTTAGGAAGACCAGTAACTGAGCTTACCTGACACGGCAGAAGAAAGATTTCTCCTCCATGCATTCTTGAGTGAAAGAATCTAAAAGAAAAGCCCACAGTCACCCATCCAATGACACAACGAGGTATAGAGAGCACTGTGTCCTCCTAAAGACAGCACCAGAATCAGAGCCACGATGTGACACAAACCTGCCAGAGCTCAAAGCAAAGCCTTAGAGAGCTTTTATCCCAGTTCTGACTAAAATGAAATATATCATGAGCGTGGCACATTCCAGAGCTTACAGCCAGGGGTCTGATGCCCCCAGATGCGCCGGGGCCCTCCCCCCACCACAGACTCACCTCAGACTCCAGTTTCTCAGAACTTCATTTCTAAAATGCCTAAAATGTCCTACAAGCCTCTGAGATGTTTTCTCCCTCTCTGAAATTCATGAAAATACAATTTTTCCTCTCTAAATTTATTCTGAACAACTTCTGATCTCTCCCCTTGGACAGAGGCCACCACGGCTGTGCTGGTCTCAGGCAAAGGTGAGGTGGGCGGCGCTCCCTTCCCTCACCTGTCCCACTGCAGACACTCCACGGAGGAAGCTTGTAAGGCGTGGTGGAGCTGTGGAACAGGCTAACATCATGGGGCGCCAAGAACTCCACAAACTTCGCATCGTGAAAGGTGTCTCTCTTACAGTGGAAGATGGAGGCCACTTGGTTGGAGATGTACCGGATCTTCCCTGTGACCAGGGACACAGCTACAGCAAACATGTCCTGGAGAGGAAGAACATCCTCGGTCAGAATGGGCAGAGGGGACATACCTGGGTGACAGGAAAGGGGCAGGAAGGTCAGGAAAGGCCTCTGGGACCCTCCTCCTGACCAGAATAGCTCTATTTCCCCTCATATATACTGGGGTCCACACACAATCAAATCGGGGCTCCACTGCCAAAAGGAACCCAGGGTGCAGATTCCCACGGGTGCCATCCACTGAGTAATCTTGGCTACAGAGCACTTGGCTTCTGAATTGAGAGGGAAACCAAGCTGGGGTGTCCCTCTCCTGGGGTGCCAGGGAACGTCTGGGGGCTGCAGGGCTCTGGAGCTCTTGAGCTAAGGACTGGTGGTGGTGGGGGAAGTACTGGAGGAAGGTGAGGAATGGGAGCCAAGTTCTCAGACAGCTTTGAGAAATGTGGTGCTCTCTGTTATCTGAGAAATGGGGGCTCAGGGCACGGCCAACTTGCTTCCTGTCCCCACACCTCCAAGGGCCCCACCTTTACCAGCTTCTTTAAAATGCATCAGGTTTGGCCCTAGGCAGTCTGGCGCAGTAGATAGAGTGCCAGGCTGTGGACTAAAGGGTCCCAGGTTGGATCCTGGTCAAGGACGTACCGCAGTGCAGGCTCGTTCCCTGGCTCTGGTGCAGGAGGCAACCAATTGCTATGTCTCTCTCACATCGAGTTTTCTGTCTCTTCCCCTCCCTTTCACTCTCTCTAAAAATCAATGGAAAATATCCTCAAGGGAAGATTTAAAAAAAAAAAAAATGCATGAGGTTTGGAGTCTCATGAAGCTGAGTTTAATCCCAGGGCACCCCCCATGAAGAGTGAACCAATTGCCCCTGGTGTGTCCTCACCCTGAAGTACACTGTGCTTGGTCAAGGAGGGGTCACTCTCCCACACGTGAGGTGCGGGGTGGAGTGGCCAGGAGAGCACAGGGTCTGGGAGACATCTGCACCAGGACTTCTGAAACACTGACTACATTCTTTTTCTAAGGTCTGAACTCACTTCCTAAAATTCCAAACTCTGCTGCCATTAAGCCCCCGGCCCGGCGGTCACCAGCTCACCGAAGGAGGACTCCCAACAGGAGACACTCACCGTGCTCTTCATAATGACCTCGGAGGTGGCGCTCTGGATCTCCTCTATGGTGTAGGAGGGCACGTTGGGGCCGCAGCTGTGCTTCTTGCTGGACATGAGCAGCTGGTAATACTCCTCATTGGCTGCGGGAGAGATTAAGAGGCAACTCCTAACTCACTTTTCTCATGAAAAGTGGGCTAGGAGACTCTCCTGGGCACTGAGAGAACAAACCACAGAAAGACAAAGAAAAAAACAGAAATCTGGGCATTTCTGTGAAAATCAGAAGGCCTATGGTTACAGAACTTTGTAAACAATAAATACACGTTATCTTAAATAGCAAGGCCACAGAGTTCCACCTAAAGCTCACTTTCCCAGCGAGGTTGTTAATTATGATGCAATGTCATCATTTCTATGCAGGATGGCTGGGCACCCCTGCTCTGCCTCCCGTGAGGTTTCACTGTAAGGACAAGGGTCCATGGAGTGGCCCCGGTTGCAAGATCAAGACTGCACACATGCATACCTGCCCCAAGACTTCTGTTTCTCTGAGGCACTGAGGACATTTAAGAATTCTCCAAGTTCTCATCCCGTTTCCCAGCAGCAGACTGAGAGGCCAGGCTATGAGGACCTCATGACTAACTGTATAGCTAAGCCATTCTGAGATGACCCTGAGCACAGGATCCTGGCCTGGAGGCAGAGGCACCAAGCTGACCTGAGACCCAGGACATGAGGTGTCTGCCCAGTGAAAGTCTGGTGGCAGGAGCAAGTGAACGCAGATACTTGGGCTTGAAGTTGATTGAAATGGAAAGTGTCTGAGCCCAGTGAGCTAACATTTAGGGTTTGCAGTGTTTGCTCATAGATTCCTGCATCTATGAAGGTTCCTGCAATGTGTCCTCAGATAAAAGCCTTTCTCTAATCCACCAACCAGCGCTAAAAGTGGTCATATGCTGCCATCTATACTTCTATACTAATAAAAGAGTAATATGCTAATTAGACCCGGTCGACTGGACATCTTCCAGATGTCCGAGTTCCTTCTGGACAGTTAGGGGGCAACCAGGCTGGCAAGGGGGTAGTTAGGGGGTGACCAGGCCCACAGGGGAGCAGTTAGGGGGTGATCAGGCCAGCAAGCAGAGGCATTTAGGGGTGATCAGGCAGGCGAGTGGTTAGGAGCCATCAGTCCCAGATTGTGAGAGGGGTCCCAGATTGCAGAGGGTGTAGGCCAGGCTGAGGGACCCCCAACCCCCACCCCATGCACAAATTTCATGCCTCTAGTCTAATGATAAAAATCCAAACATGCCCACATGGATGAAGGCTGGATTTCGGAGGTCCTGTTACCATGCACCTGTGATGGAAGGCGGCACTCTGCCCTGCCTGCCTTCCTGGCCCAAAGACCACCACTACTGAAACTCACGTGTTTTTAGAAATTAAGGTGTGGCTTAATAGTTGAGTTTCAACCTATGAACCAAGAGGTCACTGGTTCGATTCCCGGTCAGGGCACATGCCTGGGTTGTGGGCCCAATTCCCAATATAGGGAGTATAGAAGGCAGCCAATTGATCATGTTTCTCTCTTATCTATGTTTCTATCTCTCTATCCTTCTCTCTTCCTCTCTCTCTAAAAATAAACAAAAACATATTTAAAACAAAAAGAAGTAAAGAGCCAGGGGTTTTGTATGAAGCAGCTCTAAGATATTGTCTTTCAAGGATGAGCTTTGTTAAACCCACCCACCTCTGGGTTCCCTTCGTGCTTTCTTTTAAAGGAGGGGCAAGTCCTCAGCTAACCACTGTGGGATGTTTCACTTTAATTCCACTCTGAGCTGCCCACATCACCGGGCCCTCAGTGGTCACCCACTCCAGCCAGAGCCTGGAAGATGCTGCACTGTCCTCACCATGACCTGACCCAGCCCACAGCACTGAAGGTTTATGTTGTAAATAGGTTTCTGTTATCAACTGGCTTTCTACCCACTTTATTTTTTCCTCTAACAGTCAAATGCAATAGACAGCTTCCAGTGAACTGAGGTTTTCAATTGTGGCAGCTCCACAAGACTCCTAAGTTTCTTTCTTCTATGTCAGGATTGCATTTTGAAAGCCAACACAGTCCAAGCTGTAACTTGGGATTGGAAACTTACTTCTACAGGTTGGAACAAACAAATGAGGCAGGCATACCTTTCACCTGCTTCACGCTCCTCAGGGCATACTTCAAGGTCGCCAACGTGCTGGCTTTCCCCTTGGCCTTCTTGTCTGTGGGGAGGTGGACCTTCAGCTCCTTGAGCGTTCTGATCAGCTCCTTGTGCGTGTTGGCTTTGGCAGACTGCTCACTACTACAGAGTGAAAAAGATCAGACGTTAGCTTTCTGGGGCCCTTTTCTGAAGAGATGTCCATCTGGTCCATTTCTCAACCGGGCACTAGGACATCTTGGCCCATAGTTCTCTGAGGTGCCTGCAGGATGGTAAGCCTCACCCATGTGAAAAATAACATAAATGGGGGCACTTTAAAATGGAGTTGGAACTGCCATTTCCAAGCAAGCTGCCTTGTAGTCCTACTCCTCAAAACTTTGGAGTGTTAAAACAGGGCAACATTGTGTCCCCAGGAACTGGTCACAAAAGTAACAGGAAAGCAGATATTTTAGCTGCCAAACTGAAAATTAAAAGCAGTGTTTAAAATAAGTGTCACTATGTTACCTTATTTGCACTACAGAAATGCCTTCCTTCTATGGATGTAATTGCTCCCCTCCCCTTTCTCATAAACACCCCTTGCTTTTGCCTCCTAATTGGAACACTATTTGGATTTCTGCCTGAATCAGTACATCCTAAATAGCTGTTCTTTTTTACCTCAAATAAATGCTTGTTGCCTCTCACTGTGGCGTTTACTTTTAGGTTAACAATTACTGGAGACCAGCAGCACCCCGCCAGCTGTGACAACCAAACATGTCTCTTGGGGCAGACGATTCGCCCGTGGTTGAGAACCACGGCTTAAATGCAAGTGAATGGGTCAGACATCCTCCAGCTGGCTTTCCCCCCACGAGTGAGAGCCAGGCTGTGCCCAGCAAGGCCTGCTGGTCGACCCTCAGAGTCTGGCTGAGCAGACTGATGGTTGAGCTGGGCCTTCCTTGTCTGCCTCAGCTAGATGATGATGAACTGGTGGAGAATACAGAGGACAGCAGTAGCTTCCTGGTATAAACATGAATGATAATTGTAGGAAGACCCCCGCCAAGAGGAGAGGAGATTTATAGAAGGACCTTCAAATTTAAGGAGCAGAGACAGGGGAAGGCAGGGCAGGTGGGCACCTGCTGAAGGAGATGGATGTGTGTAGAGAAAATGATGACATCAGGTGTCTACAACGGCAAAGTGACCTCAAGCCCAGGACTAAGAGCTGGCTGTTGCTCCAGTGAGATATGAAAGTGTCTGGATAGGAAACTAAGGATACACTTGTTACAAATACCTAACAGGGTGAACAGATCTCAGATGCAGACAAAGTCTGCTTGGATAGAGCTGGAGGAGCAATAGACCCAGAGCAACATGGGGGTGGGGAGCTCCAGGCAGCCCGCAGGAACAGTCCTGTCTGGAAGGGCACAGCTGGGTTCACAATGCAGACCAATAGATTCCAGAAGAAGCCTAAAACAAGTCACATATCCCCCAAACCCAAACTCCAAGGACAAATCTTTTGGTTTCTTCAAAGATTCTAAGTCAAAGGGGTTCTAATTGGCCTTACCTGCAGCCGCTTGTAGATGGGTTGTGTTCAGACTTCGCCAGTATCAGGCTGTAGGCACTTGGACTATAAGGACAAGAAACAAAGAGAGAACTCAGAGACTGTTCCATCCACAGCTCCCCATCTAATCAGCGATAACAGGCTAGATCACACCACAGTAAGAAACATGAGGTTAAAGTAAAACTGAAACATGAAACCTCAGAGACCAGGAAAACTAGGTATTAGGAGATGAAGAGCCAGTGCTAAAGGAGCAAGTTCATTTTCTACAAAGCACTCAGCTGCAGGTGAGGTTACCTGACACGCCACCTCCTAAGATCTCATTATGCACTACCGACCTGTTGGCAACCGGATCTTCAATTGCCAAGTGGTATCATTAGGAAGGACAAACCCTAGTATATTTTAGTTATTATAAGTTAACAATATTTTCAAAAATCTGAAAAAAGTTGATCATGATTTAAAAATGGTAAAGCAATCAGATTACAACAGAATGAGACCCTGGAAAAACAAACAAGGGCCTTGCCTCCACGGGCCCTGGCTCCCCTACCTCTCTTGAGAATCAGGGGGCTCCACCAGCATCCCCAGCTCCTTGCCACTGTGGTCACAGTCACTGCCCTGCGAGTCCCGCCCTGTGGAGCAGTTCTCGTTGGTCTCATTTCCACTTGAGCCACTGCTCATGTCGACATCCTCCTGGAGCAAGGCCCCACTGGATGTGGGCTCCGTGGGTTCCTTGGTGGGGCTACTGGGGTTGGGGGCAAATTCATTCATGTTGGCTCCTGAAGAAGCTGGAAAATGAGAGAAATGTCAGCCAGAGAGAATGCAGCCTTTCCGTGGCTGTCTCATCAGGGTCTTTCTCCATATTTTTCCAGGTGAGGGGGTAGTAGTCAGGGTCATCCACAGGTATCTCATGGGTATTTTTATTTGTTCTTATTCACCGGTCTCCAGTTCTCTGTGGTGCCTCCCACCTGCCATGAATTAGGAAGGCAGCTGAATTAGGCAGCCCCCTGACATGGCAAGCTGCGGATGGCCTCGTCAGAAGGCAACAAGAGCATTGATGATCACGGTCAGCATGTGGGAACTTTGGGAAATACACAGGTTCCCACTGAGTGGCTGGCAGGGCCTTGGGCCCTACAGGTTGTCTGGGATCTCCCCAGGTGATAGAGGGGTGAGGCTGTGAGGAGCGGGTGTTACCCTCTGATGAGGGCAGAGCAGGGGGGGAGCACATGTGTTCCAGGCACTGCAGGCATTTCCATTGTTTGATCAAGGGGATGCAAGTGGAGTGCGGAAACAGGTAGGTGAAGAAGGTGCAGAAGGGAGGGAGGCCAGAGAGGAGCTTACATATAAATTACAAATAATTTATCTGGGAAACGACTAGGAACCACAGAAGCACTTGTAAGGACAGACAGATGTGACTTAATTTGCATTTGGACCCAAGGGCAATCACACTCCCTGGGGTGAACTTTGGCCACCTGGGACTGGTCAGTGGAAGAGGTCAGCAGCTAAGTGCTCTCTCCATTCTCCATTGATTGGAGCATTCTGAAGCTGTCTGTCCTTTCCTTTCCTCTCTTTTCCTTTGTGTCTTTTTTTTTTATAGTCTTGCCGATGAGATCTCCAGGGGCTGAGTGGTATGCTGGGTGTCCGTGAAGCAGGGCCTCATCATTAGGACATCATCACGTGTGTGAGTCCTGCCTTTTCCTCTTCATTTCCCTTTCCCTCACCATGGCTGCCCTGGGATTGCATCTACCCTCTACCTGGACTTTGCTTTTAAAAGAACCTGAACGAAGACAGACTAAACAGAGTGACAGAGCAGGTTAGCTGGATGCTGGAGGAAGATTTTTTTTTTCTTTTTTAAAATTCTTTATTGGTTAAGGTATTACATCACATCTTCTTCAGTCACTTATTTACCAATGACGTTTCTTCCACATCTTATAAACTGTAAATAATAATGTAATGAAAATAGGAGTGCATATATCTTTTCAAATTAGTGTTTTCAATTTCTTCAATTAGATGCTCAGAAGTGAGATCATAAGGTCTTATGGTAGTTTTATTTTTAATTTTGTGAAGGACCTCCACACAGTTTTCCATAGTGACTGCACATGTTTATAGCTCCTCAGAAGGAAGAATATTTTAGGCAGGGACAGCAAGTGTAAAGGTCCTGAGGCAGGGAGTTTGAAGAAGATAGCTGAGTCTGGAGCAGAAGGCAAGGCAAGAGGAGGGTGATATTAGATCAAAGCCAGATCTGCACATCAAAGTGGCAGAACCTGGACTCCGGCTTTATTCTGAGTGAAATGGGGAACTGCTGGAGAGTTCTATGCAAGATGTGACTCATACTTTAACAGGGTTGCAGGGCATGGGCAAGGTGGAAGCAAGATCTCTCAGAGGGCTCTTGCTATGGGTCAGTAGAGTTGCCAAGGGGCTGCCCACCAAACTTCCTGGACACCTCCTATGTCATCCTGCAGTCCTCCTCAGACAAGCAGCCAGTCCTTTCTTGCTGAGTGAATTATGAAAGCTGAGTGGCTGCATGAGCAGCTCCTGGGTGGTGGGGGCTTCAGTGGATCCCCCACTTTCTGACTTTCCTTCCCTATCCCTGTTTCCTCATCTGCCTCCTACTGGCTGCTGGGAGGGTGAAAGGATGCAGCCCGTGCAAGGTGTCTGGGATGCAGTCAGTGTCCAACAGAGGCTAGCTTTCATCATCACTGTCCATTACGATGGGAACACAGACACGTTTGTAACAGAAATAATTTGTTTAAAAGGAGCTATTTCAGCCTTAGCTGGTTTGGCTCAGTGGATAAAGCGTTAACCTGTGGACTGAAGGGTCCCCCGTTCAATTCTGGTCAAGGGCACATGCCTGGGTTGTGTGCTCAATCCCCAGTAGGGGGTGTGCAGGAGGTAGCCAGTCAATGATTCTCTCCCATCATTGATGTTTCTGTCTCTCTTTCTCCCCTTTCCTCTCTGAAATAAATAGAAATATATTTAAGAAAAAAAAATGAAGTAAAAGGAGATATTTCATTGCCAGGAGAGCTATCTCTGGCTTGTATGCAAAGGACTAAGAGTTCACCTGGCCCCACCCCAGGCATACAGACATCCCCAGGAAAGAGCATCACACACTTTGCTTCCACCTCGCCCTGAGGGCTTCGCTTAGCTCCTTACAGGAGCTCCTGGCTTTCATGGTCCTGGCCCTGGGAGACTGAGTAGGGCTCACTGAGTAGGAGTCACATGATTACCTTAGGTGGAAGACAATCTTTTTTGCAGAGGGTCAAGCAAGCATGCAAAAATGTGAAACAACAAACCAAACGAAATCATCCCAAACTTCATCATTCCAGAAAATGCATCGCTCAGCATTGACAGCTCTAACGGACCAACCTCAAATTGCCAAATTGGCAAAACCAATGTGCCCATCAAATCAGACTTTGCCTCCTGCCTTCCACAAACATTTATGGAGCACCTGCTCATGCCAGCACTGCCCAAGCCCTGGGGAGCCCCGGGAAAGCTGGGTTTCCAGCCCTGGGGTTGGTGCTCATGGGCCAGGGTGCCAGGGGCCCAGGAAGGAAAGGGGCTGACAGGGAAGGTAGGGCCTGCACACCTGCGCCTCGAGGTTCCTTTGCTGCCCCCTTCACAGATATCTACACACCGGCTCTGTCCCTGGAGAACAGTCAGGCCCAAGGAAAGGGGCTAAGCTCAGGCCTTGACTTGAGTCATTTGATCAAACCTCTAGTGGCAAGGGCTGCCTCTGCCGAACAGAGAACCGTTAGAAACTGCAGTCTGCAATGAGGCCATAGTCTGCGATGGGTTTCACAATAATACAGGAGGGGGAAGAGGTGGGGATGGAAGGAGGGGGCCAGGGCATAACTCTTTGAAGCTGACTGATGGGTTCATGGGGATTCATTACACTATCCTCTCTACTGTCATATATTAAGAGATTCCATAATAAATAGTAAAAAATTAAAAAGGGAACAAAAGCATAGCCTGGGCCCCAGTTCCACCCACCATGGCCACCCCAGGACAGATAAAGGCTGCTCTCATTCAATAGCCTTGAGCCTAAGGGGAAGTTCATTTCCTTGTGGAAGTCAGAAATCAGCTCAATCTCTTAAGGCAATTGACTTTTTGAAATGAAAGTATAAATACATGCATAAAAGTCCCAAATCGTAAGGCCACAGCTTGATATATGTCCACTAACTGAGCACCCGTGTCCCCAGCCCCCCAGATACCCCTGGTAATCCTCGAGCCACCACCCAACCCTGATCACCCACCACCAGTCTGACTTCTCCCAGCCTGATCAGTCCTGCCTGCCTTTGCGCTTTATGTAACAGGATCTCACAGCCTGTGTTCCGTGTCCACAAGCTGGCGGTATTTTACAACCCAAGATTTATAATACGTTTGCGTCTTCCTGGTAGGAGCCAAGTCCCCGAGGCCAGCCTGCTGTAATCTGAAGAAAATGTTTGTCCTGCTAAACAAACACGGTGCTCTCCATGGCAACAGCTGGGTAACTGAGGAAAATGTGACTGCAGTGTCCAAATATGGAGGGGAAGAAGGCTGGGGAGACACACGTCCTGGCCTCACTGGACACCTCCACACGTTGAGCTCTGCCTGGTGACACCCCAAACACGGAGCAGCACAGATTTAAAACAACAACGCAAAAGTGCCAGCTTTCCAGCTGTGGCACTCAGGGAACCAGCTATCCTAGTGCCTGTGAACACCAGCTGTTCTTACTCTCCTCTGTCACCCCAGGCAGAAGAGCACTAGGAGCCCCTCTGCCTTCAGAACTGCCAGTGGCCTGGACTCCTGCCCACAGCCGGTGGCTGCTCACCTGGTCACTTACTGCTTCTGATTTGCACTAGTACTTGGAAACACAATAACAAACTTGTTACAGATGTGCACAAAGAAGCATAAAGAGCTGACAGAGGCCCCTGTCAGGACCTGCAGGTCCCCGACCGGGTCCGCAGGTGGGCCAGCGTCTGCAAGGGAGGGGCACAGAGCATCTGCATAGCTTTGGGGTTGTGTGTTTCCAGTGAGTTTTGCGTAAGACGTAGTTTTCGGCGTCACTCTTTCTTTTGACTAAATGCTGAGAGGCCCTGCCAGGCACTCAATGACCTGACAGAGCCTGTGGTTTGCTGAGGCCCAGAGAAGTTACATCATCATTCAAACACAGAGGTGTGCTTGCCAGGATTTTTCTAAAAGTTAAGTGTGTGCATCAGAAATAGTACAAATGAAAGGAAACTTTCCTATTTCCTTCTAAGCAGGCAAACATGCCTCACAGGGGATGTGCTTTTACAGAGTAACCTTATGTGGCCTGAAAGCAAGACTGTCAAAATCTGTGTAGGTGCCTGGGAAAGTCATCCTTAGAGTGTGAAGGATCCAAAAGCCTAGACATTGAAACAGGCCTGAGCCCCTCTTAGAGAGAAGGAAACTGAGTCCCAGAAGGGAGCTGAGTCACCCAGCAGCAGCTGGCAGCAGGGCTCCCAGCATCCAGTCCCCACAGAAAGCCAGGGCTGCCTTAGTGCTGTGCCGTGAGTCACAGGAGGAGGATGGTGACAGATAACTGCAGACACCCACGATAGCACCCCTGTGTTGGCTTATCACATAGCTGCCACTTAAAAAGGAGTCCTTTTCCCATTTTACCCACGCATCTTATAAAAATGTAATTAGCCTTGTATTTAAACACTCAATGGCCAATTAAAGCCTCAGGTAGAGTCCTGTTCCCTTCCTAGTGAAACCCTGGGTAAGGGTAGGGGCATCTCCCATTTGCAGCCAGGGAAGCCAGTGCCCTGCTGTGTCAGATGGGGGAGGTGAGAGGTACTCATGGGGGCCTCTGCCATGCTGCTAGGGTTCTTAACACTTGGGGATCTGAGGCCCCTCCTTCCAAATTCCAGCTCTCTCAGGGAGTCAGTATCCAACTTTAGGCCTTCATGGAACCTCAGAAGCTCAACCTGACCCAGCGCATGACCCTGCAGATACCCTGAGCTCAGGCCTGGCCCAGGGAACTCGCTACCCTAGTGCCTGTGCCCCCCAGGAATCTGGGCTCCCGTGGCCTCATCTGTCAAGCCAAGGGGTTACCCTAGATCATTTCCAGGGTACCTGCTGGCTTCATTGTTCTTTGAGTATGAATCAGCTTCCCAAACTGGTTTCTTTGCGTGGGTTACGGAAACCGTGGCAACCAGGTTGTCATCCCTTATCCTGGCCTTCCTGGAGAGTTTAGCAGGCTGCCACCTGCCCCCTCGGCCTATGTCTGGGATTTGGCAGCCAAAGGGACAGCAAGAAGGATGGAGTGACTGATGTATCACAGTGGGACCCTCTCTTCTACCCAAACTGGGGAGAGAGAATAAAGGCAGGGAAGTTCAGGGTGGGCATAGGGAGTAAACATGAGGTGAGGCCTTTCTGCTCACAGGGTTCCCAGGCCCACTAGTGGCCTTTCCCTAGCTGGAGACTTGGCTCTCTGGTCTCAGAGCAGGAAGCCAGCTTCCGAAGGGGCCCTTCGTGTTCCCAGAGGCAGCTGCACTGACCGTTGGTTGCCTTCACCTTTCTGGCCCTCTCCACTTTGGGCGTGGGAGGTTTCATAAAAGAAAAATCATCTAGAGAAGGACAGGCCGGTGTGGTGATCACAGCAGCTCCGTGCGTGACCTTAGACAAGTTGCATAACCTCTCTGAACCTGTTTCTTGATCTGCAAAATGGGGATAACAGTACCCATCACGCACCCCAAGCCAGTTTCAAGCCAAGAAGCAATCAAATGGCCCAGGAAGCTCTGGGATCGAGCTTCTCTGGGCTGGCGGAATCGCCGCCGTCCCTCGGAGGCGGCCCGCCGGTACCCCAGACCCGCCCGCCCGAGGCCGCGCCGGCTCGGCGGCGGCGGTTACGTAACCAGGGAGCCGGCGTCCGGACGACTGTGGTCGCCCTAACCTGGCATTGATCCTCCCCGCCGCGCACTTACCGCGGAGCCGCGTCCTCGCTTGTACGCCGGTCGGTCTGCGCGTCCGTCCGCCGAACTGGCGCCCACTGTCGCAGCCGCGGAGAGCAGCGCGTAGTGAGCAGCGTGCAACCGCCGCACAGCCCGCCTTCGCCGCCGCCGGCTTACCGCTGTCACATAGTGGAAAACGTGACCTCGAGCGCTGCGCCCTCCCCCGGCGCCCCCCATTGGTCGCGATGACTCTTCATTTGCATACCAGGGGGGCTGGCCTGCGTGCGCCGCACACCCATTGGCCGCGGTGCCCGTCGCTCTTTTTACATAAGACGCACATGGAACTCCATGTTCACCGCGTAGGTTCCTCAATGAAGACGCGGCGCTCTCTTGCCCCCCTTCTCGTCCTCCCGAGTGGTCCCTTCCACTTCCGGCCTCGGTGTCTTCCATTCAAGACAGCTCGCGTCCCCAGCTCCCGGAGCGCGGAGTGGCGCGTACCACCGCGGGATGGGGGGAGGAAACAGGCTCCTCCGCACCTTGTTCCAGCCGGCCGGCCGGCGATCCCTCGCTGAAGTGCAGGCCCCGGGAGGCTACCACCTTCAGCGACAGGCCAGAGGCGCGTCCCCAGCGGCCGCGGGAAACTCCCTGAGGACATCTTTCATTCACACATTCGCATTCATTGACTTTCTCATTCA